TGGCTTCTTTCTCTTAGTAACATGCATTAAGGTTCCTCTGTGTCTTTTCATGGCTTGGTAGATCACTTCTTTTTAGCGCTGAATAATCTTCCATTGTCTGGATGCACCACAGTTTATCCAGCCACCTGCTGAGGGGCATCTTGGTTGCTTCTAAGTTTTGGCAGTTATGAATAAACCTGCTACAAATATCTGTGTGCAGGTTTTTGTGTGGAGGTAAGTTTTTACCTCCTTTGGGTAAATACGAAGGAACACAATTGCTGGATTGTATGATAGGTTTAGTTTTGTACAAAACTCCCTGAGCGTCTTCCAAAGTGGCTGTACCATTTTGCATTCCCACCAGCAATGTATGAGAGCTCCTGCTGCTCACATCCTCGCCAGCCTTTGGTGGTGTCAGTGGTCTGGATTTTGGCCATTCTAATAGGTGTGTAGTGTTATGTCAGTTTTTATTTTAGATGTTTTGAGTCTATATTATTAGATACATACAACTTCAGAGTTATTATATCTTCCTAGGTGATTAAACCTTTGTGAATTTTGTAATGATACTCGTCTATAATAATGCGTTTCACCTTAAAGTCTAGTCTAATGTCAACAAGGTTATACCGGCCTTCTAGGACTGCTTTATATACGCTTCTTCCATCCTCTTGCTTTCAGGCTTTCTGTGTTTTCACTTTTTAGAGTAATCTCTTGAAAATTGCATATAATTGTATTTTGGTTTTTTTTTTAAAGATTGGCACCTAAGCTAACATCTGTTGCCAATCTCCTTTTTTGTTTCCTCTTCTTCTTCTCCCCAAAGCCCCCCAGTACACAGTTGTATATTCTAGCTGTGGGTCCTTCTGGTTGTGCTACATGGGACACCGCCTCAGCATGGCCTGATGAGCAGTGCCATGTCCATGCCCAGGATCCAAACTGGCGAAACCCGAGGCCGCTGAAGCAGAGCGCATGAACTTAACCACTTGGCCATGGGGCTGGCAACTGTATTTAGTTTTAAATACATTTTGATAATCTCTATTTCTTAACTAAGTTTATATAATTTATACTTATTATGATTACTGATATACTTGGATATATTTTTACCATCTTATTTTACACTATTTATCTTTCTTTTTTCTTTTTCTTTTTTTCTTTTTATTTTTTTTCTAAATTGGCACCTGGGCTACAACTGTTGCCAGTCTTCCTCTTTTTTTTTTTAAGGATTGGCACCTGGGCTAACAACTGTTGCCAATCTTTTTTTTTTTTTTTTCTGCTTTGTCTCCCCAAACCCCCCTGTACACAGTTGTATATCTTAGTTGCACGTCCTTCTAGTTGTGGGATGTGAGACGCCACCTCAACGTGGCCTGACGAGTGGTGCCATGTCCGCGCCCAGGGTCCGAACCCTGGGCCGCCACAGCGGAGCGCGCCAACTTAACCACTCGGCCACGGAGCCGGCCCCTCTTTTTATTTTTCTAGTTTCTTTTTTCTCTTTTCCTGTCTTCCTTTGAAATCATTTTTTAAAAATTCCATTCATTTTGGGCTGGCCCCGTGGCCAAGTGGTTAAGTTCGCGTGCTCTGCTGCAGGCGGCCCAGTGTTTCGTTGGTTCGAATCCTGGGCGCGGACATGGCACTGCTCATCAAGCCACACTGAGGCAGCATCCCACATGCCACAACTAGAAGAACCCACAACGAAGAATATACAACTATGTACCGGGGGGGCTTTGGGGAGAAAAAGGAAAAAATAAAATGTTTAAAAAAATATATCCATTCATTTTTTTCTCTGCTGTTTTGAAGTCATACATTCCATTTCTATTTTTACTGCATATTTAACAAAGTTGATTAATATATCTACTCTTTTCCCAAACAACCATCCTCACCTTACATCTTAATTTCCAATGTTGTAGTTCAGTCCATCTTTTTTGCCCTGTATGTTAACATAATTATCATTGTTTAACAGTCTGTGTTTGTTTATATTTTCCTACATACTTTCTGGGTTTTTTTTCACTCATCATTTTTACTTGCATTTCAAACCCTTCTAGGGTCATTTTCCTTTTTCCTAAAATAGATCCCTAGAGTTTCCTTTAATGGAGGAATGTTGGGGGTAAATTCTCTAATTTGTTGTTTATCTACAGTTGTTTTTGTTTCACCTCATTCTTGAAAGATAATTTTGCTGGGAATAGAATTATAGAATGGCAATTTTTTCCCCCTTTCTCAACATATTAAAACGCCATGTATTCTGACATCCCTGTTGTTGTTGTGAAATCAGCTGTCAGCCTGTTACTCTTCCTTTTAGGTGATTTGTCTTGTCCTTCTGACTGTTTTTAAGATCTTCGCTTTTTCTTGGTGTTCTATAGTTTCAGAACAGCTCTAGGTGCATATTTCTGTTTAGTTATTCTGCCTGGGGTTGTTGGGCTTCCTGGATTGGAATATTAGTGTTTTGCAGCACGCTGGAAAAATCTGAGCAGTTATTTCTTCAGAGGCACCTTCTATCCAGTTTTCTGTGTTGCCTCCTCCATCCTCTATGCCACTTAACCTTTGTTTTCTATTTTCTATGCCTTTGACTCAATGAGATGCGTTCTCATAATTTATCCAGATCTCTTTCCCAGTTCTTTTATTCGCACATCATCTGTGTCTAATCTACTTAACTCATTCGTTGCATTTTAAAATCAATATTTTCTTTATATTTGTGTAAGTTGTATTTGGTTCTTCTTCAAATCTATGTGGTTCTTTTATGCTTTTACTCCTTTCTCATAGTTGCAAGCTTCTCTTTAATTTCTTAAAACATATTAAATATACTTTATATTCTGACTGTGATAATTCCAATATCTTTAGTTTTTGCAAGTCTGGTTTTACTCACTATGGTTTAGCTGTCTCTTACTCACGGTGTCTTATTTTCTTGTATGTTTATGACTTTTTGGCTGGGAGTTCATGCTCCTTGAAACTTTACCTGTGGAACTACTTTGAGGCCTGGACTGGAGTTGTGTTCCTCAGGACAAGATGTATATTTTCCTCTGTTGGTCAGCTGGGAGTACTGTCAACCAGGTATCACTTCAAAATAAATGATCTGCTTTAGGTTTTAAACCACAGAGGTAGCATCAATTCAGGCTTCAAACCCACATTAGAGCAGGCTTGTTACAAATTCTCAGGAAAGATTTTTTTCTCCTTTCTACCCAGCACCAAGGTCAAGATAGGCAAGATTCTGTGCTGCCCTTCTTCATGGCAAATTTACTTCTTGTTCCCTCTTAGATTGAGACTCAAGCTGTTTGAATACCAGCTTTATGCAGAGAATCTCCAATAGTCTCCTCATGCTGGAGGGTCCAGGCTCTAGCTCTGGTCTCCTCTATTGCACAAAGCACTCAGATTGATAGCTCAAATTCACCTGGGTTTGGTTGGGCAGACACTCTTAAGGCCAAAGCTGACTTCAAGCTCACTTTTTCCTCAGGATTACCTTTTTCCCTGTGCTTTTGTACTCGGAGAATTTCTTACTTTGTTGCCAACTCAATGCATTTGTAAAGATACTTTTTATTTTTGTCCAGCTCTGGCATTACTTTCATTGAGACACTTACTATCATACTCCCAGATATGGAGGTCTGGATATTTTTCTAGTCCACCCTTTCACTGAGGTATGTCTGCTGTGGTGGGACCTCTGAGGGTCCCCAGTTGATATGGAGATGTCAATTCCAACTGCCTCCCTTGGATGGGTCCAAGACCTTGTCTTCTCTCCTGGGTGCAACAACCAGGGCTCAAGGATCTCTGTTGCCAGCCGCTGTTCGTGAATACCTTTACGGCAGCTGTGACTTCAGCACCCATTTGGACACAAACAAACTCTGTTGGGGCCAATGTATGCATAGAAAACTGAAGACGGTCTCTATGACTCTCAGTAGGGCCACCTCCTATGGACTTCCACGTTTTGCTGCTTCTTCCTCAAGGCAGCTCTGCTTGCACAGCTACAGCCAGGTTCCCACATGTATTTTCCCATTAGCCAGATGCTCACCTGCTCTACCCCACATCTCTTAGGAAGCTGATGTCTACCCTTGCAGGGGTTTGAACCTTGTTAGGGTCATGGAACTCTTTGAGAATCTGATGAAAGCTATGAACCTTTCTCCAGGAAAATTCAGTGCTAGCCAAAATGTAGGGTACCATTTCAGGGGGTTTCTGATGCTCTGCCTAGACCATCAACCACCTGATGGTTTGTCTTCCTCTAGATGAGCTTAGGATCTCAGGCCTCAGCTTTGCTGGGCTTCTGCTTCCTCAGGAATTCACATGATATGTACACACACTTAGGACTAATCGGAAGGCTTCATGCTCTGTGCTTCTGGTCAATGCTCTCTCTATTTAACTGTTTTCATATAATCAAGTGATTTTGTTGCCAATGGGCCTACACAATGTAGGTCTAAGGGGACGTTTTTGTTTTTTCCTTTATAATGGGATCTGGTTTTCCTAGCTACAAATAGCAGTTCCTGGGGCCACTATTGGTTTGATCCTCATTTGTTGTGTTTTTGATCCCTGAGTTTGGACCTATTTCAAGGAGTCTGAGCCTCTTTTGATTTGTTCTTTGGTGAGTTTTTAATAAAGACAAACTAACAATCTGCCTCTCTGTTTAAGTCTTGGTCTTTTTGTGACTCTCTGCATTTCTAATTTGGCCTTTTTCTTAACCTCTCTGAGCTAGTTTCCATCTGTAAAATGAGCAGCTGAACTGGATCAGATGTACTTAAACTGCACTTCCCTGACCGCCTCGGGGGCTGGCAGGGCAAAGGGAATAGGGTGGGGAGTGACTCTTGCCTACAGCACTGCTTCCACCAGAGCAGGTCTGCTTTATGAGCTTTACATGCTGGAGCTTGACTAACATTTCTTTTGAGCAAAGTTCCATGGGGCATTGCTGATGGCCATGTGTGTCTCCTCCCTGAGCAGGAGTCCTGCCACCAGGGCTGCAGGTGGAGGCTGGGAGAGAAGGTGCTCCTGTCTAACCCACTGATCCCCCACCCTGTGGCAGACACCCTTTCCCCCTGACTCGCTAACTCTGTTCTTAGTTCCAGTTACAAGAAGGATGTTACCTTCGACGATGAGCATGTTCCTGCTGCTGCTGCTGCCCCTGGGTCAGGCTGCTCCCAAGGATGGAACCATGCGGTAAGGGGATTCAGAGGGCAGGGCTGTGGGCCGGGAGCAGGGAGAGTGTCTGGAGAACCTAAGGCTGTGGTGGGCCCCTCTGGGAGGCAGGAGACAGGGGTGTACGCCCCCTGACCTCTGTAGCCCTCCCCACCCACCTCAACCTCTGCCTCGTGCCTGTTAGAGTGCCCTACGCAAAGTGGGCATTCCATACGTGTCTGCTGGACTCATGTGGAAGCCAGGAGCTCAGTTCCATGACGTATAAGCACAGGGAAGAAGCTATGGGCCAGGGAAAGGGCTGCGGTTGTCTTATCAGGCCTTGGAGTGGGAACTCCAGAGAAACAGAGACCATTAGCATATCAGTTCTGTTTGAGTGGACTAGCTTTCTTGAGGTTTATGTATTAATACTATGCGGTGCGTATGCTGGGTGGGGTGGAGGGACAGACACAGGACCATCAGCAAGGGCTGGCAACAGTGACAAAAGTTGCTGCAACAGCTCCTGCCAGCTCTCTGGCATCACAGGTCTGGAGTGACTTGGGCAAGCAGGTAGTCCTGTCCAGAACTGGGGGCAAACCTTGAGCTTTAAAAACTGACAGAGAGACCCTGAGCAGATTGGAACTCCAGAACCAACATATATGCTCTCAGCTTGGGGGAAAAAAAAAGGAGTCCATTTTGTGTCATGGAGCAAATCGGGTCTGTATAAAACTGGGCAGTGCCTCCGGGCTCAACCAGAGACCTAGCCCTCGGCCCCCAGCAGCCAAGTAGAAGGGTTGCCATGATCCACCTTGTCCTGCCCCACTGCACTGTTTTCTTGGGTCTCCAACTTGTTTCTACTAGGTGTGGCCTCATCTGGCCTCTGCCTAACCAGATGTTCTATTGGAGTTTTCACTTAACGTCTAAGTTAGGAATCTGCAAAAGCAGAGTCTGAGGGAGTAAGGTTCTGCTTCTGAGGAGACCAGAAGGGCTCCCTCCCCACAAGGTTTTTGGGAACCTGGGGGAGCAACTCCCTTTGGGTCTCGGGGGAGAACTCTGCCAGGAGCTTGCGGGTGGAAGGCTGGTAGGCTGGGCCCTCAGGGCAAGGCTGGTCCCTCCCTTCCTCCTCCAGGCTGGACCCTGAAGTGCAGCATCTGCCCTTGTCCAACCCCTTCCAGCCAGGCCCGGAGCAGCTTCGGTGAGTAGGCGGGGCTGGGGGCCTGAGGGTCAGGACTGGGGTTGCATACTGGCCTCTCGTGGGCTGATTTTCCACTTTTCTTCCAGACTTTTGCAGAACTACCTAAAGGGACTAGAGAGGATGGAAGAGGAGCCAGAGCACATGAGCCGGGAGCAGGGTGAGGGGCTGAGCTGATGGGGCCAGTGGACGGGAGGCTCAGCACAGCTAGAGCTGTGACTGACCTCGGGCCGTCCCCTGGCTGCTGCCTCCTCCACCTGTCCCCTGACGTCTCTTCTGATCCAGCTTCTCTTCCTTAGTTCTCCTCTACCTCTTTGCCCTCCATGACTATGACCAGAGTGGACAGCTGGATGGCCTGGAGCTGCTGTCCATGTTGACAGCAGCTCTGGCCCCTGGAGCTATTGACTCTCCTACTACCAACCCAGTAAGCCCCGCTGGATGGGGGCCCCTTATCCCATGAGGCAGACCCAGCTCCTTGGGGCTTTGGTCTTTTTCATCATGACCCTTAGCAAATCCCCTGTAAAAGGAGTGCTCAGAGCCTGCATGGCAGGGATGCGGGGGGAAGGGGGACAGTTGGGAGGGTCAGGGCTCCTGGGAACATCTCTGGTCACCATAGACCCCATGGCAACTGTGCTTCCACAGGTGATCCTGGTAGTGGACAAGGTGCTCGAGACCCAGGACCTGGATGGGGATGGGCTCATGACCCCTGCAGAGCTCATCAACTTCCCAGGAGAGGCCCCGAGGCACGCAGAGCCCACAGGGCCCCTGGAGCCACAAGATGTTGGGAGGCAGTCCCTGTTAGCTAAAAGCCCATCAAGACAAGAAGCACAGGAAGCTTTGAGTCCCAGAGAAGAAGCTGGGGGACAGGTGGAGGCCAGAAGGGAGTCCTTGGAACCTGTACAGGAGGCTGGGGGACAGGCAGAAGCTGAAGGAGAAGCGCCAGGCCCTGGAGGAGATGTTTGGGGACAGGTAGAGGCCAGAGACACTGGAGAGGGAGCAGAAGAGCTTCCAGGGCAAATACTAGAGTCTAAGAACACCCCAAATGAGTTTGAGGTTCATGCTATTCAACTGGAGAATGATGAGATATAAACCTTGAGGATACAGATCTGCACCCTTACAAGTCTCAGTGCCAGAACATAAGCCCTGAAGCGTGGGGTGTGTATGTTGGGACAAGGACCCCTCTGTGTCCCTTCCTGGCCCCTGTAGGTGGCAGGTCTTCTGTGCAGCTCAGGGAAACCCTAAATTGAGGGGCAGCTTTAGCGTCCAGACAACCAATAAAGAACTGAATGAACTCATCCCCCGGTCCAGCCTGCCCAGAGCCCAGGGAGGCAGGGGTGGGCACTGGACAGGCCTCCTGGAGGGGCAGGGAGTCAGCTTTCCCAGTGTTCCCAGATGGCACTGAGACACAGCAGAGCACAACGGTAGCTCACTGCCAGCTGCGGACAACCCGGGGGAGGGGGCTCGGCCTTCCCTGGGGCTCCAACACTGCTGCTCCCCCCTCACTTGGTGTTGAGACACCCAGTTCCTTCCTGCAGCTCAGGGCAGATCTTCTCTACCCTGTATCTGCCCCCAAACCCCATAATATTAATAACAACTACCACTTACTGAGAGCCTAGTACACACCATGCACCATACTGGGCATTTTACACATTCGCTGATTTTATCCTCACACTAATTCTGTGATCATGCGGAATTAGCTCCATTTGACAGGGAAAGAAATTGAGGAAGATCAAGTTCAGTAACGTACCCAAGGTGACACAGCTAACTAAGTGGCAGATTGGAATTCAGGTCTGTCTGACTCCAAAGTCCATGCACTTTCTCACATTTTATGGCCTCACCCACCCTGCCCCAACTCCCGTATGGAAACTGGCCAATTCCCTAAGGGACGCAGCGCTCTGTACCCCAGGTCACAGTTGGGGCTGAGATACCACTTTAACTACAAGTTGGCTCCGAGGGTGGAGCTTTCAGGCTCTGTGACAGTCACTGGGGAGATATTTTTGGACTGCAAAGCCTCCACCAAACCACACAGTAGGCTCCCGGCCAGCTGGCCTGTCAGGTTGGCTCAGCCATGTGGATACTCCTAGGGCTGTGAGACTGGAGTCTTGTGACAGTGCAGGCCCAGAGGAGCTTTTCTCATGGTTTGTGGTGATTTGGAAGGTTCCCTGGGGTGCGTGGAGTTAAGTGTCCTCCCCAAGCGGAAGGCTCCCGTCTCTACCCATCCCTGTGGCTGCATCTCACCAGAGGAGCTGGGCCACTGGTGGCAGGCAGGCCAGACGGGCGCGGGGCACTTCCTGCTGCTCTGGTATAGGCAGCCCCTCCTCTGGGCCTGGGGTGGGGTGGGGGTGGGGAGTGAATTCGGGGAATGGAGAAAAAGAGGGCGAAGGACTGTCGTGTCAAAGCCTCGGGAATCCCCAGCCAGAGCAGTTCAGACATCAAGGACAAATGGACTGCCAGAGGAAGCTGGCTCGGGGAAGGAGATTTATTTGCTCTGCGGCTCTGCAGTATGAGACGCCAGGACACAGGCAGAGCCCTCCCACAGCCTGCATTGGCCCAGGGAGCAGGGCAGCCCGGATGCCAGGCTGGACAGAGGGGAGAAGGCAATGGCAGCCAGGGATGCCAGCCTCCAATGGGGGTGGTGGTGAGCTGGTGCCTCCTGCCACAGGGCGCTCACACGATGCCATCAAAGCCCTGCAGGCCGCACTTCTTGCCAGCCACCTGGCAGCCAAACCTCAGCGCCTCCTGCATGCTCTTTCCTGGAGGGAGGGACAAGTAGCTGGATCAACCTGGTCTTCTGGGCAGGGGCGGGCCCCAGCCCTGCCCCTCCTGCTGGGGTACTCACCCTGAGACAGGCTGAAGATGACAGAAGCATTGAAGGTGTCTCCAGCCCCCAGAGTATCCACCACCCGGGGTGGTGAGAAAGCATCCGAGTGGAGCAGCCGTCCATCAGGGCCCAGGGCATCGGCGCCCTCCTCAGCCCAGGCACACACAAGCACTGCCCTGCAAGACCCTCCACTCAGCCGGGTGTTAGCCCACCCTGGCCCCCAGCCTCATTCCCCCTCCCCAGGGCAGGCCCTGGAGTCCAGGCTCATTTGCTCCCCACACCTAAGGCCTCTTCCTGGCTTCCCCCAGCTCACCCTTTCCTCACACGACTGTACAAGCCCCTCAGGGCCTCCACCGCTGACCGGAACCCCAAGTGCTTGGCTACATCTTTGCTGACAAACACCTGTGGGCAGTGGAAGAGAGGCTGACAGTCACCTTAACTCCAGCCTCAGCTGTCACTCACCACCAGCAGCCTAGGCATGCCCCCATTTTATAATGCCACCTCCTCCAAAATGGCCGCCTAAACCCCCAACATAGCATCTCTCTGTCTCACGGGAACACGTTTTCATATGTGCTCAAGATATGCTAGAATACAGCCCTGTAAATTGTGACACAAAAGCCCTAGTCTATTTGTTCCAAGATCCACGAATTTCCTAGCAATTGAAAACCCAAAGCAAGCCTGGAGCGCCATCTTGGGGTGCAATCTACCACTGCCAAGTTAAACCCCGGTTTTGGGGGTGGTTTTGTTTTGATTTTTTGTTTTCTTCGTACAACTAAGCCCTCTAGGTCTTGTTTCTTTATCTTTAAAACAAAGGAGTAGGAGTTCAAGAACTTCCCCAACAGCAGCTCCACATTAGAGTCACCAGAGAGACTTTTGCATTTTTTAATACTTCAGCCCAGGCTCCACCCCTATTGATCAAATGAAAAACGAAGGTGGGGCTCAGGCATCCCTATCTTTTAATGTGTAGCTAAGGTTGAGGCCCAACCAGCTTCAGCTATGATGCTAGGATTGTCCCCCAGGTTCCATTTACATCCTAGCCCTGCCCAAATTTACCTTGTGCAAGTCCCCTTTCCATCCTCCCTCACCCCCAGTGGCTCCCACAACCTGCCACCCACCCCAGAGCTGGAGGACACCTCCGAGAACTGTCTTATCTCATCATTTGACAGAGGGAAACACTGAGGAGGCCCAGGGAGGAGATGCTTCCACACAGGCTTGCCCTGTGGCTGGCTGCCTTGGACCTGTCCAAGCCCTCTGGCTACCCTCCCACCTATGTACCCACTAGGGTGGGGAAATTCTCCTCCTGGGCCACTGCTGAGGCCTGCACCAGAGCCCAAAGCTGGGGGTCTGCCTCTTTGCTTTGCCCCTCCACCTGCGAAAATGCCACCAAGCTAGGAATTGTCATTCCACGTGTAGTGGGCAGGACAAGGGGAAGCTCAGGCTCCCTTTAAGAACCAAATTAGCTGGACGTGGCAAGGAGAGGCTGCGTGGGATGCTCACCACGTCTCCGTAGCCAAACAGCTGGAACAGCTCCTCTCGGGGCTTCTCCACCTCCACGGACACCTGGATCTTCTGCTCCGGAGGCTGCCTGGCATTGTGCTGTTCTATCCGCTGCAGCATCTTCACCTGCTCCGACACATTCCGGCCCTGGGGCAGAGCAGGGCAGCTCAGGACCAGCTGGGCACTCTCCAGCCCATCTGGCCCATTCTTCCCTCCCTGCTGGAACTCTGGATGAGGGGGCAGAGGGGCCAGGAGAGGCTGGGCTGGAAACCCATCCTAAGTCTCAAAATTCTGGAGCTGTCCTGGACACTGGAGACCTCATCAACCAGCCCTACCATTTCACACATAAGGGGACTAAAGAATAAAAGAGAGACTTTCCTAAGGGCCTACAATAAATTAAATGACAGGGCTAGTTTTAGAACTCAGGACTTAGGGTTTCCTCACACCCAAACTCCAAAACTTCTCTTGGAATGAAGATTCTAGTTCCCTTTATTGGGAGCTGGGTCACGCCCTCTCATTCCTGCCTCCCCAGAGGTAATGGGTCAGGCCTCCTACAGCCAGGCTCCTGCCAGAGGCTGAGTCCGGAGGAGGTGAGGCAGCCTGTTAACACAGAAAGCACGAGACTTTGTCTGGAGCCAGCATCCTGCTTCTGGCGCCTACATCCTGCTGTGTGACCTTGAGTAAGTCACCCAGCCTTTCTCGGCCTTAGTTTCCTACCTGAAAACATAAAGAAGGATGAAGAGGGGATGAGGGGGGTTGGATTCATTTATCTCTAAGGTACTTTATGGTTCAAATAAACCAAGAGGAGGCAGAACATGTGGAGGGGCTGGCAGGTTGAAACCCTTGAAACACAGGTAGGGCAGGGCTTGCCTCAATGTGGATCCACTTGAACCGGGTCAGATCAACCTTCTCAAAGTCCATAGCAGACACATCTGGCAGGTTGCTAAGTCACAGGACAGAAAGGACAGAGAAGAAGGAGCATGGTGAGGTCAGCGCCAGGATCTCTAATTGTATGCTGGGGCCCCTATGCCTGGTGCTGCCTGCAGCATGGCAGGAAGCTGGATCTACAGCACAGGCCTGAGACTCAGCTCTATGACAGACCCTGCCCAGGTGAAACTCCTGACCCCTCCTTGCCCCACTCAGCTCCATCTAGACAGATGACTGGAGGCAGATTGTTAGGGTGCTCCTTCCTGTGTTTGATGCTGTAATATGTCTAAGGGCAAACAACTGCAGCATGTGTCAAGGGGTAAGTTCTGTGTGCCTTGGAGACCACATCTCCCAGAAACCTCTAAGAGCACCATGGACTACAATTCCCAGAATCCCTCTTGCCAGCAGCACACACAGCTCCCAGCATACAGTGTTCCGGGAAACTACAAATGCCATGGCCGTTCTGCCCGGAGCTCGCGTCTGGTCCCACTCACTGCTGGCACCCCAGCGGTGACAGCACCACTGTCCTGAGTTTGGCAGCTCTGTGTTGAAATCCTGAGGTCAAGGTTGGTGCTTGAGGATGAGTTTATGTTTGGCCGATTTCGGTGTGGAGACCTGGGTAGGGTTCGCCTTGATCCTCCTTAGCCAGAGACCTACGCACAGCCAATGTCCTCCCCTCCACGTTCTGTAGCCAAATCCTCTGTTCTCTTAACCAGCTGTGTGACCTGGGCCTTTCCGAGGCTGCTTCCCCATTGGTACATGGGGCCAAAACCCCCAGCCTCAGAGGCCTGCTGCAGTTGGAGGTAACGGGTGTGGATATGCCTGGACTGAGGCCAGTGGGCAATAAACATTTCTCCTGGGAGCTCCTCTCCGTCCCTTCCTGTGAATACCCATGTCATGTCCTTGATCAAAGTTGCTTCAAGATTGTTGCTTAGTGGGCGGGTGACTAGGATTGCCCAGTGTGAAGGTCACTTCTACCATGCATGCCCAACCGCTCGTTCACTGGGACACACACACGGAGCCCAGGGACCACTGGTCATCAAGCTTGTCCCAGGATGACTGCCCCTCTCCCCAGGTCCAGTGGCCATGCTGGGCAGTAGAAACAGCCTGAACCCCAGGGCAGCTGGGCTTGGGCCATTTCAGCCCTAATATATTACCTAGAACACACTAGGTTCTCAGTAAACTAAACCTCTGAGATTCTTCAGGAGGGAATCTGGGAGAGATGAGAAGGGTCTGAGCCCACAGGACCTCTCCCTAGTAGCTTGTAACCCTAAAGGGATCCCTCTTTCCCCAGGTTAGCCCCACATCGGATGGCCCTGATTGGCTGACCCAATGTTCCCCTTTTCTCTACTTTAGCAATGGCTGTGAGTAGTGTGTGGTGTTTGGTCTGGCTTCACTATACTGGGGCCTTGGGGGACGAGGGGTACTCCTCTTTTTTGAACACCCAAACCCCAGCTCCTTGGTGCCATGCTGCAGGCTGGCAACTCTGGGGCTGACCCTGGAAATCCCAGTGGGCCCCCTTCAGGGCTTTAGATGGTTTGAATTACATCTCCTGTCCCTCTGTCCTCAGAACAATTTCCCCATGCTCACCCAGGCTGCTGATTGGCTAATTATGGAGGAATCACATCATAAATTACGTTTTGCACAGGCCTGCCTGCCCATCCTTGGTGTCCACCAAGGCCACGTTGCCAGGCAAAGCAAAGCCCATCCCTTCCCACCTCACTTCTCCCCTAATTGAACACAATTCAGAAATCACTGAACAGTCTGGCACAGGGACAATTTCTGGTACAAAGAGAGAAGCCACAGAGGGCAGGCAATTGGGATGCCCATGGTGGCGAGTGAGGGAGCTGATTGGTGGGTTGTGGCAGGGCGAGGCCAGGGGGCCTTACGTGTCATAGAGCACAATGGTACGGGAGCCAGTGGAGTTGTTGACGATGCAGCAAGAGCATGGGGTTTCCCCCCTGCTCTGCCAGGCCACCTGAGACACGTCCACACCCCGCTGCCTGAAGTCAGCCACCAGGAAGCTTGGAGTGGAGCCGAGCCAAGGGAAGGGCAAGGAGACACAGATTAGAGCCTACAAGTGGCCTGGGCCTCCCACAAGGGTGGGGAGGGGTGCTGGAGCACGTAGGCCTCTGAGAGAAGAAGGGTCCTGTTCTGGGAGTTCAGTGACGATGGTAGCAGCTGGCAAGGTGCAGACAGGTGTACAAACCTGTAGGCATGCAGGATGGTGCGGCTACCACTGGCCTCGTTGATGATGACTGTGGAGATGGGGACGGAGCCCGTGGTGTGAAAGACTGTGTAGCGTAGGTCCACGGAATAGCGGCGGAGGTCATCCAGGACAAAACTGCCAGGGCGGAGTAACCCAGGGGAGGCGCAATTCGACAAGGGTTTGAGGACTGGAGGGTAGCTGGCAGGGCCACAAGAGCCCCAGAGTGCAAGCAGAGGGTACTCAGAGGGAACTGGAAATCACCGTGCTGTAGCAGGCTGTGCAAGGGAGCAGGACAGGCAGGGGTGCCTAGCCTGGAACTCAGTGAGAAAAACACTAAGGTACACTCTAGGTCCTGGCTGAAGCAAACTCCAACCCTGACCTTGTCCTTCAGTCTGACTCAAGCTGAAAAGGATCTGCTTGTGTTCCTAAAGGTAAATAGGGTGAATTTGGGGCCTAGAGCATGTACCCTGTTTGAGTCAAGTAGGTGAGGGCACTGTGGCTTGTTTCATGCAAGGCCCAGGCAGAATTAATAATTACCAAGGTGATACTTTGCTCCCCCACCCCCTGCTGCCCTCTGCCTGCTCATCCCCATGGTACTCTTCTCTCTGAAGTCCTCTGGTCCTTCCCTCTCATTCTACACCTGCATCCATGATGCCCAGCCGGGAAGTGGGGCTGCCTTGGTGGGCCTGCTCACTGCCCTCTCCTCTTGCACTGAGGCAAACCCTCCCGGGTAGTGAGCTGGCTCCCAGTGCCTGATTCCCCTCTGCATGGGCCTGGTCTAGACTCTCACTCAGAACTCCCTCCAATCAGAGTGAGCTGGCGGCGGGGGGCCCTCAGACAGACTGCACCAGCAGAACAAGGATGTCAGCCCCACCCCTCCCGGCCCTCTCTGGAAATGCCATGTCCTGTGCCCAAGAGCTGGCACTTATGCCCAGCAGCCAGCGTCCTGACTTTTCTCACTATGGCTAGACCACACTTTCAGCAACACCAAAGGTGGACAATACAGATTTGTACAAAGGTACCAAGTTGGGGTATCCTTCCTTGTCCTACATCTCCAGGATATTTAAGTAGTAGCTTTCCCACAGTATGGAAAATACGGTTTGGTTTGCCAAAACACTTCTGCACCCACAGTGCCTGGCAAATGGTAGGTGCTCATTAAATGTTTGTTGAACCATTGGGAGAATTTGGATGGTGGGTCCACTACCCTAAGCAAGAGCAGTCTTGTCTCTAGCTTGGAGGGTAGGCAGCTGCTGAAGAGGGTTAACCAGTGACTGGCTGTTGGTTCTCGGCCCCTCTGTCCAATCTCACAGGGCCCCTCTTGCCCCCTTATTCACTTCATGCCAGTTCATCAAGGAAGGGAATCTGGCAGCGGCCCCCTCAAACCAGGGTTCAAAGGGCTGTGCTTCATAGGCCAGCAACCTGGCAGCCTGCCCCAGTGCCCACAGTGGGCAAAGTGTGGGCCTCACCTCCTGATAAGCGCTTGCTGAAGCTGCAGTGCCAGGGGTCAAAGGGCTCTTGGGTCCCTGAAGCAGCCAACATGGAGAAAGCACATGGGCCATTTATGGGCTGTAGCCTTGGCAGCAATGAGCTGGAGGCATGGGTCTGCGCCCAACTTTGGCACGTGGCTTTGGGGTGTCCTTGGGCAGGGTTCTCTCACTGCTTCAGTGAACAACGAGGACATGAGCACTGGCCCTACCCTCTCAACCAGGAAGAAACTGTGGGCCTGGACCCTGGGACCAAGGATGCTGGATGTCCCTGAGGTCAGGTGGGTACAACATGTCCCTAACTCCCTTCTGCCACAAGCACAGCCAGGATAAGCGACATGAGAAGGGCAAAGTCACATCCACTGCGGAGTCTGTTGGAAGCAAGGAAGGAGAAGATGGGGAAGCTGAAGCAGGCTCCAGGAAGTGGCCAAGAAAACAGGCTGTGGAAATGAAACCTTCAGCAGGAGCAGTGTTAACATCTGAGCAGCAGATAAGCCACACCAGGGAGGGTTTGGGATGCTGGTACTCCACTCTGCCCCCTCCCACCCATTTCTGGTGGCCACAAACCATTTCTTATAGCGTGCCCACCCACAGTTAAGACTTCCTTCTTCTCCCCCAACACTGCAGGCAGGCCTCCCCTGCTCCCTCCTCCACTCACTCGGCAACGTGGCCTGGGGCCAGTGAGCCCATGAATGCACAGGGGGCTCCAAGCAGGGAGAGAACAGTGCAGGAGTTGGATGCGTTGCCTCCACGTTGCCATCGCTGGGACAAGCACCTGCAAAACACAAGGAGGGTCCCTGCAACTCCAGCAGGCTGGTCCTGGGACAAACAGGGCCAACCACAGTGCCCTGGGTAGGGCCCACAAAATGTAGAAGCTGGGAGAACCCCCTCAGAAAGCATCCAGGCCATCCTCATTTTCTAGATGGGCCGCTGAGGCTCAGCGAAGGGAAGAGGCTTGACTGAGGATCAGGTCTGTCTCTCCAGTCCAGGCTAAATTCAAGTTCACAGCAATTCATTTCTATCTTCCACCTATTCTTATGACATCAAGAAACCACTCATTTGGGTCCATCACAATTTGAGGTCTCCACTCACTCTGGGTTAGCTCCTCCTCAGTTACAATGACCAACATCTCCCGCAGGGCTGCTGTACCTTCAGCCTCCTCCTTGAGAGGTGGATAACTCCAAGTGACTCTTCCCAGAGGTGTCAAATCTGCTACCTGCTCCTGTCTTAGGAGAGCCCACTTCAATAATAACTTCAGGTTAAAATGAGTAAGACAGGAAGCAAAGCTGGACATTGTGATCATTTAAGAAGTGGAGCCAAGTTAACTTTTACGATGCCAAGAGTTAAAAAGATTATTAGATGGAGAACAGTTTTTCTCCATCTTTTTGTTTGTTTGCCTTTTTTCTCCAGCTTTATTGAAATATAATTGCCATACAACATTCTGTAAGTTTAAGGTGCACAATGTGATGATTTGATGTATGTATATATGCGAAATGATTACGTTAAGGTTAGTTAACACATCCATCACCTCACATAGTTACATTGGTTTTTTTCCTTTAGTTTTTCTCCAACTTTATTGAAAATCTAATAAAAGGAAACTAACTCAAGATACACCTGAAGGGCTTCATTGTCATCACCAACAAAAAAAAATGATAACTTATGCATACATAGCCAAAGCACTTTAATGATTTCTCCTTTGTGCTCCAATAATACTGCGAGGTAAAGGGTGCAGGCTGTTACTTCTATTCTTCCCGTTCCAAAAAGAATAATAACAACTGTGGCAGCTTACAGTAAGAGGACCAAGTCCCAAAGAACCATTAATGAAGAGAAATAAATGAAGCAGAACTTTTAGGCTAAGGTATATTTGTACACAAAAGTCAACCCTGAAGTTCCCTTCAGCCTTGGGAAAAGTACATGACGATTCACGTGACTGTGCTGGGTGGACCCAAAGCCTGAAGAATGCCCGGGTCTCTCTCCTCAACTAGCCTCATGGTTCTCGGCTGTCGAGAACCTCATGGTGTCTTGCCCGAGCTCAATCTCGAGTTAGACTTTTACCCAGTTCTTGGCTGAGACAACTGATAGCCAAGGAGCAGTTCTCAGTAGTCTAAGCACTAGACTGCACCAAGAGAAAGCCTCGTATTCCACCCCACAGAAATGCCTTCTTGGGATTACAGTGTAATGGTGTGGTTCTTAGCAAGAGGGAATATAAGAACCAACAAATGACTCTTCAACTTTGACCAGACAACTAAGAAGGACGTCCACTATGTTGTCCACTGATTTTTGTAAAAAGGACTTCTGGTGAACTCCTTTAGGAATTTAGCACCAGAGAAAGTTTGTCACAGCTCATGAACCACCTCTATCCATAACATATGGCATCTCCAAATTTGCCTGCAGTGCCAGCAAGCCCCAAGCCATCGTGAAGCTCGAAGACTCTGGTTTTAAACGTTCTTGAACAGTCTAATTGCACATACTTCTTATGGTAACCTACCTCAATTGTTTTTTTTAGAGACAGATGAGATATCTATGTGGTAAATAAATTAGAAGGAAATGCTAGTGAGAGGCAAGTATACGGGTCTTGTTAAAAGGAAAGAAACCGGTCCTGCTCCATACTGGCTGCGCGCCCGTGGGTAAATCACTTCGTTTCTCAGTCTCTACTTGCTTATGGGTAAAATGGGGACAATGATGCCTGACACAGTCCCAGGGTTGGAATGGGAATTGGCGAACACAATGCTATCCAAAGCTTGGGTCTTATTACTAAAGGCCCAATTCTTTCCCCAGGTCCCGGGCAGAGGGCACCGGGGACCGGCTCCCGAGGAGGCTGGACCCTCACGGCCTCACTGCGGGGCCCCTGGCTCCGCGGCCCTGTAGTTTCGGCTGCTGGGCACAAACACGGGGCTGCAGCGACCCCTGGGGTCTCCGAGGGGCCCGGGCGCCCCTACCTGCTGTCCGTGTCCTCCTCCGGGTACTTGTCCACCACATTGATGATGTCCAGCACCACCAGCCCCACGCACAGGATCTGCTTCTCTTCCATGAGGCTGCTCCCGGGGTGTTCTGCCCAACCGGCGGACGGGGTTCCTCCCGGGCGCTGCCTCTTATCAGAGAGGATTGTGTCCCCCTCCCGGGGCTACCCTGGCTCCTCCTCCGCGTCCGGAGCTCCTCCTCCAGGGAGCCTCCTGTAGCGGCAAGGGGTGCAGCTGGGTGGAGGGAACGGAGCAAGGCCCTTGCTCCCCACGCCCACCGCCCCAAGCGGGCGTGGGAGCGCAGACCCCGAGGTCTTGGTCCCCGGCCTCCCCTTAGCAGGTTGCGTGGCCCAGCAGATGGCAACGCCTCCTACTTCTCGGCCTCAGTTTCCTCACTTGTCAGACGGACTCGGAGCTAAAGCAAACCTCTCTAAAGAGCGGCTATGCAACCTCATGAATGCAGAGAGAAAGTGCCATAGAAAGGCGCCCCTTGCCCCGCCCACCCCGCACCGGCAGCTACCAATCCAGACCCTACACCGGCGGGATTGAGCCGGGCCTCGCAGCTGCAGCTGGGACCCCGCAGCCGATGCCTCGGCTCGCGCGGTCGCGACCGCTCCGCCCGCCCCCGAGGCCCAGCCAATCCCAGGCCGTGGCCCCGCCTCCGCCGCGGAGCAGCCGGGGCCCGCAAGGTGAGCGGCGGGGTCACGTGACGGGAGACGGCGCCGGCGGCGCGGCGGGCTCGGCTCCCAGCACCCCCTGGCGGGCGCGGGAGGAACGGGCGTGATAGGGAGGACGGCCCGGCAGGGCTCTCAGCAGCCGGCGCACCTGGTGGCCCAGAGCAAAGGCGGGCAGAGCCACCCCCAGCAGAGCGGAGGGCGCAGGCGGGGCCCGGAACCCGGGGCTTCCCGCTCCCCGTCCCCTGTGCACTCCTGTCCACCCATGAACACATACTGGAGCAGACGGTTTGTTTTGTTTTGTTTTGTTTTTTTTAGAAAAAACCAAGTGTCTTTATTCCTGAATAGTTTAGTATGGCGGTGGTGGCCGGAGCCTCCCCGGGAGAGCCCTGGAGCCCAGGGAACCGGCCTAGAGGGCCAGTTAGGGGAGCAAAGGGCGTGAGGATCGGCTCCTCTGCAGTCCGAGTCCTGCAGGGGACGGCGATCAGGCCAAAAGTCTGGACGAGGGGACCCTGGAGTCCCCGACCCGGCGCGCTCCAGCCGTGGGGAGGAGATTGTTCTGGGCGCCTGTGCCGCAGCGGGTCCGGAGACGGCGGCTCGCCCGGGGCTGGGGTGCCAGGACGGTGCCCGGTCCCAGGCGGGGACCCGGGAAAGCCCACCGCCCCCGCTGGCTCTTTGGCCGGCATAGACACTTCGGGCCGGTGCGGCCCGGCCCCCTGTCTACACCTGTTCAAGCTCCAGGTCCCCGTAGAGCAGGGCGCCGCTAAAGATGGTGAGTGGCTCCTCGGAGTGCGCCAACTGCCCCATGACCAGGTCGATGCAGACCGTGTCCCCGGCCTGCAGGGGCAGAATGAGGCTGAAGACGCCCAGGGCGCCCGGGCTGGGCTGGCTCTCGGCCACCGGCTTATTTTCCAGGCCCTCGGGCTCATAGCCACCGGAGTCGATGCGGGCCACGCCCAAGTTAGAGCGGGACAGCACAGCTTCCACCTTCTCGTGCCGGTGCCCAGTCAGCACCGCGCTCAGCAAGTAGCGTCCAGCCAGTGGCGCCGTGAAAACACCTGGGGACAAAGATGGCATTCAGGAGGGGAGACAGGTGGCAGCGTCCTGGAAGGCCTCGGGGAGGCCACCCAGAAAGCCTGGACTAGGGAGGGACCCACTGGGTCTTTTCACCTCTCTTCCACTAGAATGTCAAATCCAGGAGGGCGGGGAATTTGGGGTTTTGTTCATTACCCACCCCCAGTACTTGAAACAGTGCTGGGGCAAGAGCAGGCCCCCGATAAAGAGCTGTAGAACCAATGGCTCCTTCCCTCCCAACCCACCCCTCAGCCCAAGCTATAGTGAGAATGAATACATGAAGGAAAGAATCAGGGTCTCCCAAACCAGAGCATGAAAAAAGTCGCCTTGTCCAAAGGGGCAAGAACAAGAACATATCACTGCACAGCCTTGCTGCTTCCCCGGGCCCTGCATGCCCGCTCCCAGGCTCACCAGTCTCTGGATCATAGTAGCCCCCATCGTTGAGCAGGACTCTGTCGAAGGGCACTGTTCCTGGTTCAGACCGGGGCAAACTCAGGGCAGCTGAAAAGGCGACCCGGGGCACAGAGGCTGCCGGTGCCCCCTCTACTCCTGAGTGGGGCAGAGTGGCTGTCAAAGTGGATGCTCAGTGCAGAGCTGCCCAGCCCCCTTCCCTCCCTGGTCTCTACCCCCAGCGCTGCCCGAGGGCTTCCATCCTCCAACCCCTAGTTCAGTTCCCCTCCTTCCAGCATCTAATGCGAGGCACTTACCCTGTTCGCCTTGGGGACCTGTGGGAAGAAGAAAGGGAGCAGTGAGAAATAGGGTAGCTCTTGCTAAGTCACTCAGCAAACATCCACTGAGTCTGTCCCACTGTGCTAAGTGCTATGCAGACTGCAAAGCAGGAATCAGGATATCAAGAAAAGGAGGAATGAATAAGGTCCATTCTGTTCAACTGCTGGACTGTAAGCCCTAGCCCCCAGCCTTTCACACCCTATGGAGCCCTCGTAGGCTCAGCCTTGGTCTTCAATACAGCAGTGAGGCTACCATATCCAGTTAGCCAACACAGTGACTGTCCCAGCTCCTAGTCACATTCCTTGTCACTATCAGCCATGTAGGACTCCCAATTCTTTGCCCCTTTCCCCCTTTTCTGTCAAGTTCAGAGTGGAATGTCAAGCCTGGGGCTGCCCAGGGGGGTGGTAACCCTGGCTACAGCATGGATCTCAGCCCACATACCTGGTGGCCCAATAGGCCCCTTTTGTCCATCCTTGCCTGGAGGTCCTGGAGGTCCAGCAGGGCCTGGGGGTCCCTGCACCCCAGGAGGACCTGGGGGCCCAGCCTCACCTGCAGGCCCTACAGTGACAAAACTAAGTTGAAGGACAGTCATATAAGGAGTTTCCAAAGGGCAGAAAGGTGGTTGCTCCATGAACAGGGTGATGGGGCCCCTTGCTACCCATGCTGGAGACCTGGCTGGCAGAGCAGCCCCACCTCCACTCACAGCCCTGTCTGAGCTGCCAGGGGAGGGCAGGGAGCTGGGACCTTGGATCATCTTTTGTGAACAAACCAACCCCTGGGACAGTGCTGGGTCTGCCATTCATGCTGGGTAGAGCAAGGAGAAAGTAGAGGAGGTTAAGGCTGGGTTGCTGTGGGGTAGGAGGAGGAGAAAGGACTTGAAAGGGGTACCCCCCACCCCATCCCTCCTCTTGCCCCCTCACCAGTGAGATCCTTCAGACTGAGCTGGTGAAGCCGGTCCTCCAGGAGCAGCAGGGAGCTGTTGAGGGCACCGAGCCGCCTGCCCAGGCCTGCTTGCCCCCCCAACAGCTTCTCCAGCAGGGCTGCCTGTGTCTGGCTGGTGCTGTTGGTTTCCCGCAGCCCAGCCCAGAGCCCAGCCACGTGTCTGGAAAGGCCCTCACGCAGGCCCTGCAGTCCCCCAGCCACTGTGTCCAATCGTTCACAGACTCCCTCAAGGCGGCCCAATCGTCCCTCTAGGCTGGGGCACTGGCCGGCCTGTGCCTGTCCCTCTTCCAGGCCTCGGAAGCGCTCCTCACTCTCTGTAGCATGCTCTGTGGCCTCCTGCTGCAGCCTATTAATCTCAGAGATGATGCGGTCCTTGGTGGCTCCCAGGTCAGCCAGATCAGAGCCCTGGCCCTCTACGGTGGTCTGGAGCTCATGCAGTGAGTCATTGAGGGAGCTGAAGGTAAGAATAACCTCAGAGAGCTCTCCTTGCAGGGCCTGCAGGGCTGAGCCGGAACTGCCCCCAAACACACTGAAGCCGTCCAGAGGCCCACGGCTTGGTCCCCCAACACCTGGACCAGCCCCAGGGCCCCGAGGTGGTAACAGGGGGCAGGAGCAGCGCTCCACACCATCCCGAAGACGGCCCAGTTCCTCTTGGACACCCCCACAGGCCCCACAGCCCTCCTCCCCACGGGCTTGCAGCAGACCCTCCAGCTGGCCCACTCGCGCAGCCGTGAGATTCAGCTGCAGTGTGAACTCTGTGGCTGTCTCATCCTGCGCATCGATACGACCCTGGAGCTGGCCCACTACCCCTTGCAGTCTTTCCAGCATGGCCTGCCGGGCATCCCCAGCTGCTTCCAACTTGTGCAGGCCAGAGCCCACGAGGTGCAGCTGCCCCTCACTGTCCAGCACCCTGCGCTCCAAGGCACTAAGGATCTCGCTGACCTGGGCGTCTTGCTCCTCTGGGGCCCCAGAGCAGAGCTGCCCACATGCCTGTACAGCCCCTGCCACCTGCTCTTCCAGCAGATCCAGTCGCCCACCCAGCTCCCCACTCACATTGGTCAGCAGCCCCTCCAGTTTCTCTAGTCGGCCCTGGGCAGCAGGCAGCCAGTGGCCCAGGCCCCCAGGACGCCCAGGCCAGCCCTCCTCCTGTTCCTCCGAAGGACCCAAGGTGGAGTTGAATCGGTCCTCCAGGCGAGAGAGGCGGGATGCTAAACTGGTATAGCCTGGGGGGTGACCGCCCTGCCCGGCTGCTCCTCCCAGCTCCGTGCCTCGCCGCCCGCTCAGCACTGTCACTGAGCCAGCCACTACATCCAGCCTCCGCTCCAGCTCTGCTAGACGCCTGCCCAGCTCCGGAGGGCAGCATTCCTGAGGGGGCCTGCGGCCCAGGGTCTGCCCGGTGAGCTGCCGCTGCCGCTCCTCCACAGAGGCCAAGAGCTTCTCCAGTGCTCGCAGTCGCTCCCTGTCCTCCTGCTGCTGCCGGCGGAAGCCATCCAGCCCCGCCAGGCACACAGAGCAGGACTCCTGCAGTCTCCGCTCCAGCTCCCGCAGCGGCTCCTCACTGTGGCCAGGCGGGGCTGGGGCTGGGTCCAGGGCCCTGCCGCTACCGCCACCTCCACTGTGATGGTTGTTGAGATGGCCCAGCTCCTGGTCATGGGTGGAGACGCGGTTGTCCAGGAGCTGCAGCTGCTGCTGGATCTCATTGAGGGTTTCGTGCACACCAGGGCGGGCAGCTGCATCTGCTGGCTGCTGCCTCCCATTAAAGGCTGTCTCCACAGCCCTCTGGACATCTTCCGCCAGGCGCCCACTCAGTCCCTGCAGGACGCCCCGAAGGCCCTGCAGCTCCTTTGTTAGGCTCTGCACCTGCTCCTCCAGCTGCTGCACCTTCTCGGACTCCCCGGGACCTGGGTGAGAGGGGAAGGCATAAGGCAGAGGGGTCAACTTCAGAGCTCAGTGCCTACCTCCTAGGCCCTGCTCTCCCCAACTCCAACGAGGGGTCTGAGGTCCTAGCTGATTCAGCCACTTTTTAGCTGGGTGATTTGGGGAGGAAAATATGGAAGGAAATGCCATTCACTGAATGCCTCTAAGCCAAATTTGTACCAGCTCTTTCCCCCTTACAACAACTCCAGTGGGCAGAAACCATTAGCTCTTCCCATTTTGTACACTGGGTAACAGAGGAGCAGAGAGATTAAGTAACTGGGCCATGGATCACAAGTTTAATAAGCGGCAGAGCCAAGTTCCAACACCAGGTCATCCATGTGACCACCAACCCCAAGTCCTTTCCATTGTCCAGAGTTGCCTCTGAACTTTATGGAAACTGTTTCCTCATCTGTGAAAGGGGAATGACACGTTGTCGCTCCCTCAGGGCGCGCGAAATGGGAATGTTGGGGAGGCACTGTGGGCCCCACAACAGTGGCTATTCCAGGGTGGCACCTCTCCACACCACCACAGGGACAAACTAGGTTCTGCGACAAGCCTGTGGGGGCGCTAGCTGCGTGGTGGGCGAGTCAGCCAGAAGTTCCTGTTTCCATAATGACAGGATGGCTATCTCCCTGGCAGGCAAACACAGCATGCCGCAGTGCCTGGCACGCAGGGAAGGCAAAAGGGACGGCTGCATTCTGGGACCTGCAGTCTCCAGAGGCCACCGAGGGGCCTGGGACCGGTAGTCGGTTGCAGTGCATGCTAGGACTTGTAGTCTCAACTCTCTATCCCCTTGGACCAAGCTTCTCGAAGGAATGCCCCCTTCCTCCCGCAGCTGTTCCCAGCTATGAAGTATCTTGGCCACATGTGGGCGTGCGTGAGCACGTTCTCTTTCTCTGCTTTCTTTTTCTCTGGGTCTCAATCTCTCTGCAGGAGGGCAGGGAATTTCAGGGATCCCATTAACTCCCTTCTGTCCCTTTCTTCTGACTCGGAGCACGGGGTTTTTCCCTCAGCAGCCTGGCCCCACATTTCCCACCCAGCACCATCTCCCACTTCTCTCCCCAGCGGCTCCCATACTCACCTTCCCCCCCTAGTCCACTCAGGTGGCTGCCTGCACTGGAGCCAGAGAGGTTGGGGCGGGCAGGCCGGATCTGGGGCCGTGGTGTGGTAGGTGCAGGACCCAGAGCTGGGGCAGGGCCCTCAGCACAGTCATCACCCCCGTACCCCTGACAGCACCTCCACTCCATATCCGTCACTGTCTTGTAGGCCACGCGGTAGCGAGGGCGGAGGAAGCTGCGGTACCTGGGAGAGGCAGAGGGAGGCCTCTTTACTCCTCCCTGTGCAGCTGCTGGTGGGCACGGCCTGTCCCTCAGGCTGGGTCCCCCTTACTGTCCAGCATGTGGCCTTGCTCACTTGACAGCTGTCAGCATGTTGGCCAAAGGTCAAATCCCTGTTCTTCCTCCCCTTGTCCTGTGCTGGAACCTTGAACTCCCCTCCTTGAGCATGACCCAGCCCAGAGAAAGCATTTGCGGGCTGCTAGGGTGGCCTAGGTAAAAGTTTGCCCTCAACATCCCACCAGCCAAACTGTTGCCTCAGCATCTCCTCAAAAGGGCTATGACTGAAGACCCTGGTCCTGCCCCTTGCTTTGTATGAATTCCCTGAGTTGGCTGCTGGCCTTCTGCCCTAGCCCAACCCCCACCAAGTGCCCACCCTCCCCCAGCAAGGAGGCTCACATGATGCTTCGGGGACACTGGGGCTGGCCCCAGCCACAGGGCTGGTAGTCGGGCTTGATGAAGGTCTCTACTCCATCCTCAAGGACACAGCTCACTGTCCGGGTCACCACGTAGGCACACCAGTTCCTGCAGGTACAACCCCACCTGGACCCAAGGGCCAGAGACACATGCCCCAGAGGAGGGCCCTGGGGCTTCCAGAGGGGCTGAGGGAGGGTCAAAAGATGAAGGGCCCCTGGGGACCAGTGGGAGCCAGGGCTTTGGCAGGGGCAGCTCCCCCCACGCCTTCCTGTGAGGCAGGAATTGATAAAGACTTTTCAAGATGGGGAGAGGAAGCGCAGAATGGAAAACCACAACTACGATAAGTATATCCTCATGGCTAGGGGGTCCTGGGGAGCCTCTGAATTCACACATTCATCCGTGTCCCTTTCTGTCTCAATCCCCACCTTGGTGTGACCTGTATGAGCTGGCTAGCCAGGTCCCTCTGGTGACCCCCTGGATGCTGGCTTCCACCCACCCCTCAGGGGAGAAGATGGGGCAGGAAGGGGTCCAGCCCAGGGTTAAGCGGAGAATAAGCTACTGATAAATCCTGCCCTCCTTGGGGCTTGCAGTTCTACACTCCTGGCCCCATTCATGCCAGCCTCTGATCTGTGTCTGGCTGGAGAGCCAAAAGGAGCAGAGTAGGAGTGGTGTCTCAAACATGGATTACTGGATGGGGCTGAGGAAGCCCTAGAAAGGCATAAAAGGTCTGCCCAAGGATCCCAGGCTGGTACGCAGCTGGCAACTGGCAGGAAGGCCTGGCTCCTGCTTCTCAGGGTAGTTTCCCTGGGCACCTGGGGAGGATGTGGGAGCTGATCCCCCTGAGGTTAGACAGGGGGACCTATCTATTCAGGGGTCCCTGGAAATGCCCAGGAGGAAGTTAACTGTGTGAGGAGCCACCTAATGGGGGGCTTCCTCTCCCCCTCTTCTCTGTATTAGGGTAGGCAAGGCAGGGACCGGGATATCCACCTTCTTCTGACCCACCTTCCCACCCACCCCCAGTCTTGGGCCGGGACCCAGACTCTTACCTGTGTCGGCTGGCAGGCCGGGGGGCACTCTGGGCCTGGGGCCCTCCAGGGCTGAGGGCCCCGCCACTCCCTGTGTAGAGGCTGTAACCACGAGGAGGGTAGCTAGCTGCCCTCACAGCTGTGGTCAGCAGGCAGCAGAGGTAGCAGCTCCAGAAAGTGCTGGGGGCCATGATGGGGGCGCTCCGCGGTGGCCCTCAGAGGCACATCCCAGCCTGACCACTGGCGCCTCTGCCTGGAGCGGGGGATGCCGCTGCTCCGAGGGACAGCGCGGTCAGGTCCTGTCCCCAGCTTCCTGCCGGCAGCCCCCAGCCACACGCCTCCTCCTTGGCTGCCTGGCCTGACCCCTCTCCCCCTCCTCTTTCCTCCTCAGGCTCCTGTCTGTCCCTCCCTCGGTTCCTTCCGCTCTCCTCTTCTCCACTTCTGAGGGGAGTTTGTTCTCTGTGCCCCTGGCCTCCTGCGCCTGGTCCCTGCCCGTCTCAGATGCTGGTTCCTGGGCCTCTGCTCCTTTGCTCAGCTGGCCGTCCTCTGGTCTCCCTGTTTTCCCCAATGACCAGATCCTGGGGGTGACAGGGCTTTGCCCCTGTGGCTGTTGAGAGGCACAAGAGTGGCTGTGGGGCGGGCCCTGGCCTCTCGCCTCCCTCTCTTGCTCACTCCTCTCCCTTCCCCCCTGTCTGGCTGGCGGTCCAGCCTCCCCCTTCCTCCCCCCATCTCTCCAACCATCGTGCGCCACATCTGCTTCTTGTTAACTCCGGGAAAGAGAGAAAAAAAAAGGAAAAACAGAGAAATGTGGAGTTGCCGCCGGGCTTGGGGCCAGCCTCTCAGACGGGCCACATGGAGCGGAGCCGGGGCCAGCGCTGGGGGGAAGGCCCAGGGCTGGTCGCTGAGACAGGGAACGGGAGCTGGAGCCACAGCTCTCCTGGGGCCAGGGCAGGCCTCCCCTGGGAAAGAGACCTGAGAGGCAAGCCTAGAGGGGAGAGGAGGAGGGGAGGACTATAAAAGGGAGAATGGACTTGTAGGCTCAACAGAACATCACTCACCATCGAGTTCAGCTGCCTCCTTTTATAGATGTGAAAGTTGAGGCCCAGAGTGGGAAAGTAACTTGTTCAAGGAAACCCAAGTCAAGAGCAGGGCTGCGATTAGAATCTAAATACCTAGGTCAATGATTTGGGAGAAAGGAGAGGAGAGAGGGTTACTGGGCCAGGGAGGAGAAGGAAAAGGACTCCATTGAGGCAGGCAGGAAATTCAGAGAAGCCAGAAGAGGAAGACAGGAATCTAGAAATGGGGGAGCAGTCTTCTGTCAAGCATGGAGAGGACATGGGCAAGAGGAAAAAGAGTCTCTTGAAAGGCCGAATAAATACGGGTCCCAGGCTTGTCTTGGTGAAGGTCAGGCCATCAGTGGGGGAGGGGAGGGAGGGAGGTAAACTGGGTCCTATCTATATAGTGCCAAAGGATTCACTCCCTAGCCTGGAGGCAAGTCTGATAGCCTCTGTAGCAGGCAAGGAACTCAGTCACATTCAGCCATCAGTCTGACCAGTGATGTCTGAATCTGTCAGCTGGGCTCCCTTCACCATCTGGCCCCTCAGCATTGTGTCCTGGACGAGGTCTCCCTGTGTGTGGGCACACTCAGGAGAGCGAAGTGGAAGGACTACAGAGAAAGGAGGCGAGAGTGCTGTGTGCCAGGTGCCTTGCAGGCACCCAGGTAGCAAAGCATGTATAAGACTCAGTGAGGAGCAGCTGGGGCTGCTGGGGATGGGAGACAAGCTCCAGAACAGAGAATTAACAAGGGCAGGATAGACAGAGTGCCGAGGGGGCCAGACAAATGGATGCAGCATGTTCTGGGGAAGAGGAGGGGGAAGACAGCTGGTTGCTGAGAAGAGTCAGAGAAGAGCTGTTGGAAGAGAGAGAACCTGAACAGTGGCGGGGGGGGGGGGGGGGTAGTGAAGAACAGAGAAAGGGAGCCGGAAGATTCCAGGTTGGGGAAGGTGGTCTGCCTCAGTTTCCTCCTCTACAACATGGAATAATAATAGTATCCCCCTTCCTAGGTTTGTGGGGATTATGTTAAAACATGTAAAGCACTTAGAAAAGTGTCTGGCATATGGTCAAAGCTCAATAAATGTTAGCTCTTATTTGTGTCAAGAGGAAGTGGGACAGAAAGAGAAGTAGACTGTGGAAAAATTAGGGAAAGACTCAGATAACTGGTTAAGAGCTTGGATTACAAGCATTTGAGTAGGGGTCATTCACATGTAGCAAGAAGACACGGTCAGCAAGAGCAATGGGCAGGGTGTTAGGGGACAATGGAGCTGGTTCCAGCTCCTCCTCTCAGTAGTGTTATCACTTTGAGCAAATCCCATGACTCCACTGGAGGTCTGTTGTCTGCTATGTCTAAGGTCCCTTCCAAATTCTACATTGCAAAGTGATGCAGACTTGGAAGAGGAGGCTGTGACTGCTTGGTGACTGCCTGGGTAATGAGAGACCAGATGAAGGGAGACACCAGAGAAGATTCCAGGGTTTGAGCCAGGATGGGTAAGTCAAGAAGAAGAGCAGGTTTGGAGGAAAGAAAGATGATCTAAGTTTGGACATACTGAATTTAAGATGACAGTAACACATCTCAATGGAAATGCATGTCCAGGACAGGTTAGAAATCTGGGTCTTGATTCTGGGAACAATTTGCAGGGCAATAGTTGGAAACCATGAGAATGGATGCCACCAAATCTTCAATGTGACTCTGAGTGATCTGTCTCTGAGGTCCTATGGCCCAGAATGTGAGCCTGATGGCAGGGAGAAATGTTGGTGAAAAGAAAGAATGCTGGGGTCCAGCCCTGTGGCCAAGTGGTTAAGTTCACGGCTCTGCTTCCACGGCCTGGGGTTCACTAGTTTGGATCTCAGGCACGGACCTACACATCACTCATCAAGCCATGCTGTGGCAGCATCCCACACAGAAGAACTAGAATGGCTTACAACTAGGATATACAACTATGACCTGAGGCTTCAGGGAGGAAAAAGAAAAAGGGAAGATTGGTAATAGATGCTAGTTCAGAACTAATCTTCCTCATCAAAAAAAAAGCATTAAAAAAAACCCCTTATTTATAAAAAGACAGAATGCTGGAACCAATGGAAATGGAAATTTCTGGCTGCTGCCCCTTAGAGGTGTAGGGATCAGCACAGGGAGACTTGAAGGAAATGGTCCTAGGAGATCCTCATTTCATAGGAGCTGTAGTGGAAGGGTGCAGCTTTGTCCCTGGACTCTGCATCAGTTCTAGGCTCTGGCCCTGGCAGGAAGCCGCTTCCCCTCCAGGTTGCCCTGGCTGCTGCTGTGGGTTTTCTTTCTCTGCTCTTTCCCCTCTTCTTTCCCTTTAGGGGGTCTCTAGCAACCTGAAAAGTCATCCCAGCCATCTTGTCACTGCTCAGTTGTTACCCATTCCTTTGCCTGCCCTCTTAAGTTTAAAAATCTGTTATATTTTAAGTGTGTCAAGTCAAAAATGTTGGTTTTGAAATACAATTGCAGTATGTTGCATTTCATTTAGTCCTGTAATTAGGAGCGAAGACCTAGGGGCCAACATGAATATCTGTGAGATCTCAAATCAGATCTGGGTTCACTGAGGAAGCCTGAGGTGTGGGGCATGCAGGCAACAATGGAGACTAGGTTTAGAGAGAATGCAGTGGTGACACTGGCAGGTAGCCACAAATTTCCAAAGCAAGTGGCAAGAGAATTCCTGAGACCGAAAAAGGCTAAGACCCTGGGGCACTAGTACAAGATCTATTTTATAACCTCTCCAAGACAGGGAATTTCCAAGGGTCTAGTGTCAGAGGGAAATCTTGGTTATACTAGGCAAACAACTCATTCAGTCAACATCACTGACTGAGCAATGAGCTCAGGTGCCCAGGGGCACCAGCAGTAAGGAACACTTTATGTCTAACGCCCCCTGTCAGATGATGGAATATCGGAAGGAAGAAAAGGGAAATAATACGAATTGGGCCTTCGGTCATGAAAACCCAGATAGTAATTCAAGCTTGTGGAGACTCTTGAGCAAAAGTCCACTCCTGCTCAAACACACACATCTTCCTTTTCCCTCCAACCCTTCCCACAGGTACAGTACTTTAGGAGCCAACCTCCTTGGACTCAGGGTCCAGGCCCCTTTTCCCAGGTCTTGTTGCTTTTTCACTCCTGAACCTAATCCTGACCTCATGTCTTCTTGAAAATGTCAAACTAATCACAGAGGTTAGGCTCCACGCGGGTCCTGGTTCCCCTCCATCCTCTCCCCCTCCCTCTACTCCCCCCAGGATGAGGCTCTCCCTGTCTTGCTTCCCACATACTTCTCCATCCAAGCTTTTTTCAAGCTTTGTTAGTTCTTAGCTGAGTCTAGTTTAGTCCTGGAGACCGTTTTTAATCTCAGTTCCTCCAGGCACTAGGCCAAATGACCCATTCAAGCCTGATAAAGACTCGCTGACCTAGGCACAGGAAGTTCTGGGAGGTGAAGGACATTTCTGGATGGTTCCAAAACAAATCTTTTTCCTCTTATCCCTGACCCTGGGACGACCTATTGAGTCCACAGACTGACATGGAGTATGGAATAGAGGACAGAGGATCAGGCAACACTGCCTCTAACCAGTTGTAGAACCTTGGTGAAATCAAGTACCTTCTGGGCCTGTTTGCTTCTTTATAAAATGATCCTGAGGGCCCCCTTCAGCTCTAACAGTCTAGGGTACTTTGTATCTGGGTCAGTTGGTTTCAGGACAACTTGGAAATCTGAAGCACTTCCAAGGGCTTCCCTCATGTCACTTGCAGCCTAGAAATCTACTTTCCAGGGTCTAGTTTTAGAGGTCTAGTTCTGTTTCTACAGTAGATCTGAGTGTCTGGTTGGACTTGGATCCGCTTCAAATTTCTGGGAGACACGAAGCATAATGTGTGTAATCTTTTGAGCCCTAGACCCTCATTTTCCCAGAACAGAGCTGGGACCAGACTGCTCGCTGAGGGACACAGGAGGGAGACATAAGGGAGTCGGGGGTTTCACTATCTGGAGAGGACATGGGCTTGGGATTCTAAATTTCTGGGAAATACTGGGTGGGGGCTGGGGGGTGAGGTAGGGGAGGGCAGGGGAACTACAGACTGCTAAAGGCAGAGACTGAGCTTGAGTCACTGGGCTGGAGCATGAAGGACAAACTGCTAATGGTCCCAGGCCAGGGAAGCCCACTCTGGGCTAGTGCACCCCTAACTCACAGTGCACACAGGCGGCAAGTTGGTTCCCTGACCCAGCTGTTCCAGCCCCATAGCTGCTCCTGTAGTTTTCTTTGGCTCAGAGAAGCAGAGGCATCCCCTGAGCCCTGGCCCCCCTCTACCACAAAGCAACTGGCTTCCATTACTCCTGACAGCTCCAGAGCAACAACAGCCCAGCCCCCGGCCTCAGCCTGGCTCAGTGCCCTTCCCTTTTATGGTGAAGCTGAGGGAAAGCAAGGAGTAAGTGGGGAGTAGGTTCTGGCTGGGCAGAGGGCTGTGGAGCCCGAGAGTGTCTTTCCCCTCACCAGACTGTTGGACATCTACCCAGTCATCTTTCTTCTTTCTCCTCGGTGACACACTCATCTCTGAAACCACGACCCCTCTTGCTTGTCACAGCCCTTCCCCTCCCTCACATCCGGGGGGTGATTTCCCACTTGGTCGCGGTCCCACGGTTTGGGTTTCGGTTCCGGGAGGGTCCGCCCTATTTCAGACGCCCACCTCCGGGGGTGGAGTGGAGGGAGGGAGCCCGGGTAAGGCAGGCACCAGTCAGATCTCCAGCGGAATCGTTCTACTTGGCGGAAGTGGGGCAGAAAGCCTGGCGCCGAGGAGAGGAGCACCCGGCCGCCCCAGCACTGTCCCCATTCTGCACTGCCTCTCACCCCCCTCCCCGCCCATCAGGCCAGGGAGGGGACCCTGAAGGCAGGGCCCAGAGGAAGCACCTGGCTGGGCTGGCCGGGAAGCGAGGGGTGGGCAGCAGCGCTGGGGGCCGGAGCAGGAAGAGGGGTCGAAGTCTAGGGGTCAGGACGAGCCTCCCGCCCAACCCTGCCGCCGCACCCCCACCCTAGCCCACTCCTTGGTTCCCCGGGGCGGCCACAGCGCTGCTAACCGCGTACCCAGCCGCGCCAGCTGCAGCCAGCTGCGCCTTGCCCGACCCGAGGCGCTCTTCCGCGACCCGCCCGCCCCCCACGGCTGGCCGTCCCTCCGCAGCCCCGCCCGAAACCCCGCCCCTTGAGAGTGCACCGCTGGGAGCAGGCGAGACGGCGGGGCTAGAGAGCCCGTTCCGGCCGAGCCGGACGGCCGGAAGTGCCTGGTTTGGGATTGAGCAGGCCCTACAAGCTTCCGGTCCAGGTCTCCTACCTCTAGCTCCTGCACAGTCCGCGGCGGAGCTGAGCCCCGCTCATCAGGTGAGAGCCACGCAGGCGCGGTCCACGGCCCACCCGGCGGTGGCTGGACCAGCGGGGCGAGAACAGGTCTCGGTTTGGGCGAGGAGGGCGCCGCCCGAGACTCAGTCCTTCCTCTTCTCCGCAGGATGATCACAGACGTGCAGCTCGCCATCTTCGCCAACATGCTGGGCGTGTCGCTCTTCCTGCTTGTCGTTCTCTATCACTACGTGGCCGTCAACAATCCCAAGAAGCAGGAATGAAAGTGGCGCTTTCTCCGCCCCAGGTAACGGCCCGGGGCTGTAGCGCCCAGCCCCCGGAGAGTGGAGTGGCGAGGCCGCGCCAGGGCCTGCAGGGTTCGAAACTTCAAATCAGAAAGTGTCGGACCAAGCATGATACAGTCCAGAACTGGGCCCCTTTATCCGCACAGAGTAGGGAGTGCCTCGCTCCCTCCCCTTTAAACTGCTCCCTGATAGAATGGGGGTGGGTTTCCTAATCGCCCTCAGTCCCCGTCTTCATGTGGTCCCCAGATGCCCAAGTCGGGGGTGTGTGTACAAGGAGGCACTGACACCGGTAGGAATAAAGTATTGAGAATGCCATTCAAATATGAGGATTTGGCCTTTTCACTTTAAGTAGTCTTCATTTTCCCGAAGCTGTTTAGGCTTTTATTTAGGTAGAATTTTTTTATGATGGGTTGTAAAGATATAGACTTCTATTTCTACGTTCTGGAGCAAGGGGCACTGATTTAGGGGTTGGCTACCGTAAGCCCAAGTCACCCAAGTCATAGAGAAGGGGGGGCGCGGTTTGAAGGGCTTGGAAACCAACGTTAAGGGTGGGTCAAAAATGAAAGGGGGAGCAGGCTGGATGGGAGTTGACTCCTGAAGGATTTCCCTGGAGGAAAGCTGCAGCATTTTCCTTACCTCAGGTCTTTCCCGCTCTTTTCTAGGGTTCCAGGACATAGTCTGAGGCAAGATGGAGGGTGTGAGGGGCCTTCACACTTCACTTCATCCTTTCTACCCATCACAACATACAAAGCAACTACACCTGGATTTTTCCAAACAACTTTTATTTCCTCAAAGTCTTCCTTAACCCTATGGAACAAGAAGCTGCCACTGAGTAGGGCCCAGCACAGGGGCTGCTTTCTTTTCTACTCCCTCCCCCCAAGTATAAAAATATAGATTTTTTTTGTGGTCCCAAAATCTTGTGCTCTGGAGGGAGGGAAGGGGTGGCAGGTCCCTGCTTTGTCTTTTCTTAAGGTGATGCTCTGCGATGCCTCAGAACAGTGTGGCTGGCATTACAAGGAGTTATGGTTGTCACATGGAATCAGCAGCTGAAGGAGGGGACTAGCACATTTCTCACTGTGTTCCCCCTCTTGGGGCTATATCCCGGGCATGAAGGTCAAGGCATCAGACCCGGGGAGAAACAGTGAGTGGGGGAGACTTAGGGACAAAACAAACCTCAGGTTGGCTCAAGGGCCCCCCGCTGTAACAAATCCACGACTGGGAGTCAGAGAGACTACAGGAAATAGGAGAAAAGGCAGGGGCAGAGTGGGACCGTGGGGGCCCGGCCTGAGGCAGCCTGGAACAGAGAAGAGAGAGGAGTCGGGGTTGTGAAAACTCTGCCCCTCTTCTGGTCTGTTAGCCAGTGGCTGGGAGATGAGAAAGGTGAGATGGGTGAGGATAGGAAGGTTGAGTACTGCACAGTGGTCTGAGGCTGGAACCAGCCAGCTCCCAGACCTTAGGCCCTGACTAAAAGTTGTTTTCTTGTCCATTGGAGTGAAGACTGAGGTCATGATGGGGAAAAAATATCAGGGACTAGATTCTTAATGAAAGCACATTTAGTCTTTTTGGGTCAAAGGAAGTACGGAAAGAAGAAAATGATCCTGAATAGCAGAAATGGGAACGAGGGGACAGAAGGGAGAGGTGGGGTGAGGGACTGGACCCCGGTGCTCACCCTGGTGCAGAGTGGGGTCCCGGCTCCGGCTCACTGCTCTCCCTGGTCCGGGGGATAGGGGATGTGGGGCCTGAAGAGCCTTTCATCCCTCTGCAAGTCGGCGGTGAGCCCCGGCCCAACCGAGGCCTAGCCTGTGTGGACAGGGGGTGGGCTAAGAGGCTGGATTCTTCCATTAACCTTTTTGCTTCTAGAGTTTCCATGCATAAGAGTGTAGGATTGTTGTCAACACAGGTACTGAGACCTTGAATTCCTGGGCAGTGTCCCCAGCTGAGAGGGTAAGGCAGAATAATGGCTAGAGAACTCTTGGATTCAGTTTATAACTGTATACTCCAAGTCTTACTTAACTAGAGGAGGCAAAAGGATCCAGCATTTAATCTCCATGGCTGTACCATAGCCAAGATCTGGGTGAGGAGAGAAGCACTGTGTGGAAAGATGCTGGAGGATTGGGAGATCTCCCTCAGAGCCTTCTGTGCCTCAGCCCCTGTCAGAGCAGTTTAAGCTTCACCTGTCCAGTCAGCTTCTGCCTATACCCAACTTCAGCCAACCTAGCATGGGGATCTGGACTGAATCGGAGTTGGTGGCACAGCTGTTCCTAGGAGCAGCAACCAGAGGTGTTACCTGGGGAATCCGGGACCCCTCCTGGCGGGAACTCTCCTCGGGCAGGTCTGGGCAGAAAGAGAGGAGAAGCTAAGGGCAGGGGCAGGCAAAGCCAAAGCTAGCAGGCTGAGGTTGGGGTATGTCTGGCAGGGACACTGGGGTTGGAAGCAAGCAAGAGACCTGGCTGAAGGGGATAGGGGACACTGGACAGACAGGCATTCAGGCACCAGAGCAGCTCTGATATAGTTGGGGGGAGAGATTGCAAAGCAGTGCATGGCATTTTTCCTCCCACTACCCAGATGAACACTGCCTTGTTCGGCTGTGCCTGAGTTGTTATGCCGGGGACTGGGGAAGACCCAAAAATGTTACCTGCAATTGGGTCCTGATACAGGGGATCCGAGGTCCAGTCCCTAGCAGACCTTTCCCAATCACCATGACAGCCTCAGGCTTGTCCCCTGAGGACAAGAGTGAGCAACTGCTCCCTAGGGAACAAAGGAAACTGATATCAGGGTAGGGGCCATGGAGAAGAGGTAGCTTCCTTCAGATCAGCGTTTCTCAGTACTGGCAATACTGACATTTTGGGCTGGATAATTCTTTGTTGTGGGGGGCTGTCTTGTGCACTGTAGGATGTTTAGCAGCATCCCTGGCCTCTGCCCACTAGATGGTGTTTCTTCCCCTGTCCCTTCCCCATTGTAACAACCAAAAATATCTCCAGGCATTGCCAAATGTCCCCTGGTGGGCAAAATCGCCCCTGGTTGAGAAGCATGGTATGCTCTGGTCTGGTCCAGGGGGTGAAGCAGCGTCCTGGAGCTTGAATCAGAACCCATTCGAGCTGAACTACTCTGAATTTATAGACCTTAGAGCCTATCCCAGTCAAATGTGTAAGCATTTAAGGATCAAGTCAGCAGTACCCAAGACTGGTGGACTGAGGGCTACCCACTGAAGAGAGTTAACAGGTTGGGAGTAGCAGGCTCTGAGGGAGGCAGATGTTGGACTGGAGAGACATCACTCTCATTGGGCCTTTACACGCTGGGTCTATAACTTAAAAGGAGAGCAGATGGCCTAGGTTTTATGTGGAATGATATGGTCATACAACATTTGCAGTGATGACAGGTGAAAGGCCTATGCTTTTCATTCTTCAATTTTGTCTAATGTTGCCCAGCTTCTACAGTCAGGGAGCGTGAATAAGTAGCAGATAGTAAAAGTCCTCAGGTTTCTCAACTGTAAAAATGAGGATTAAAGGAGATAATGTGCTTAGAGCAGCACCTGCCACGTAGTAAAGGCTCAATAAGTGGTAACTATTATTTTATTAAACAAAGGTGTTCATTAAATTCCAGTTTCCTGTACAAGGGCATGGGTGTAGGGGTTTAGGACAATCCAGGAGGATAACTGATGCCCCTGGTCTGGAGTGGCCTGTATTACATCAAGTCAAGAAGGAAGTCCAGGTCAGGTGGCAACAGAGCTGGAGGGATTTCTTCAAGCCTAGGTGGGAGCCTGGTCTATGCCCTGGGTGGTAGGGAAGGAAGGAAGTTGGCCAGCCCAGATTTCAGTGGTAGTGGGTACAGACCTGATATGCTGAGTGAACTGGGCAGTAGGCAGGAGCCCATGTTGCGTGAGGCGGCTGGGCTAGAACTAGCAGGAGTTGGGGATGGGGCCAGGCTGCTTGAAGTAGAGCGATGGGTCAGTGGCTGCTGCCGCCGTCTCCTGTCCTGGCTTCGGGGTTCTAAGTGGAAGGGACACAAGCAGATAAAAGGGCAAATAAGTGAGGCACTGTCACTCCACTGCCCTGCTGGCTCTCCTTGGTTAGGAGATGCTTGTTTTCAAGCTTGTCATCACATCAGCATCCCTCTTCTGAAGTAAATCTAAGATGGGTAGAAAGACCTCTACTATTTATTCCAGTTATCCACTTCTCAGCCAGCCCTCACCCTGCTTCACTTCTCTGTACCTAACCAACCTACTCACCCACCAGTTCATTCTTCTGGCAAAGAAGTTAGGGAGCTTGGCTTCTAAAATAGCTTTGCTAAGTTCTTCTCTTACCTCTAACTGCTCCTCTTCCACTCTCCTCCTGCCCCTTAAATGTCGAGTCCCCACCACTCTGTCCTTGGTCCTCTCCTGCTTTCCATACTCTAAACTCCAAAATCTGCCTCCAGCCCTTTCCTCCTGAACTGCAGTTCTGATTGTCCGCTGCACGTTACCTGGCAGTCTCTCATGACCCAAACAAAGCTCATTTCTTCCTACCCTTCCTTTTGTTCTCTCTTGTCTTAGTGAAAGATCTGCTAGAAATCTTGTTTCATCTTTTGACTCCTCCCTCATTTGAATTTGTGTTTAATCAAATCTGGACAATTCCACCTCTGCCTTCATTTGAATTCCTTCTTTGTTCTCCCTTGCCGTTGCCGGTGTCTGGATACAGGGCTTTATCTCTCATTTAGGCTTTTGGACCCCCATTGGCCTCCCTCTTCCCGTTTAAAAGCCATCCTTCACACAGGTGCCACAAATTTTTATTCTAAAACATAGACCTGATCATAAGTCATTTTGGCTCAGACAAGGGGGAGATACTGAAGGTCTTTTAAAGGAACAAGTCTAAACCTTTTAACATGGTCTTCAAAGCCTTGCTCACTGTGGTTTCAGCCTACACATCGTTAGTAGGATGCCAAGTGGACCCTTCACACACTCTGCTGTAGGCCCCTGTGGCTTCTAGCTGTGTGGTTCCTCTGCAGTGTCTCTTCTTCTAGTGAAACCTTGGACATCTTACATGTCCCATCTCAGACGTTACCTCTGGGAAGCCTCTTTGATCATTATAGGTAGAATTAACTGTTCTCTGTTCTTCATTGTCCTTTGTTCACTTGGCTAGTAATTGTTTATGGTTTATGTCTCCTTAATTAAATAAGTTAGTACATGTAAAGTACTTGTAATAGCGCCTGGCACATAGTAAGTACTCCATAAATGTTAGCTAATATTTAAACTGGGACTTAAGTCTCTTGAGGGTAGGCACCTTGTCTTCTCCAGTATGATAAATCCCAGTGCCTATAAAATACTGCCTAGAAAACCAGAGATCTTAATAAACATTTTGTTTACTTGAATAGCAGACATCCACTATAGACCATGAGCTGGCTCATTAATCTCTGTCTAAGCGCATATGGTTATACCCTATGGAGCAGCTCTCTCTGGCCCATTCCTTGTGGCTAGTGTCAATGCTGCAAGTTTTGAAAGCTGGGTCCCACAGGTTAAAGGGGACAAGACAAGGTAGGGATACTTTCAGGTTTGGCAGGTCCTTCCTCATGACAGAGGGACAGCACGTGCCAAATACTCTCAAACTGAATGAGCTATTAACCTTCATGGAGCTGAATTCGATGAAGGTTCCAGGATGTCACTTGACGCCTAACAAAGCAACGTGTTACATGTGCAAAGCCTCCAGCTTAGGAAGTAGGTGACGATAACTTCATCTTGTCTAGCTACACTGAGCAGTAGCCAGCAGTAACAAGGCTACTTCTTGAAGGTCCCAAACCAATATAAAAAAATTATACTTACATGAATATGGCTAGAAGAAAGGGAGAGATCTCAGGATGGAAGCTACTCTAGCTTTGAGGAGTTTGCTGAGATGCTGTGTACTAATTAGAGTCTAAGACCACAGCCAAGAGTCAAAAGCAACCAGACCTCAGGGGGCTAGTAAGAGTTGGCACAGTGATGCCAACAAGATAACAAGTCAGAGACTTTTCATGGCCACAACCAAATAACCTGGAACATTACCCACCACCAATGACTTAGAGTTACTGTAGAGCCCAGACCTGGGTAATTCTTTGGTTAAATCAGGGATGTCAGGATGATGTCCAAGTGACAGTGCACAGTAGGCAGAAATAATGAACTCGATAGAGGGGGAAATTCAGTTTCTAGATGATCTGAGAAACATCTATACACAGAAGCATGCTGAAACCATGTTAAGGGATGAATCCTCACCCTACCCCGGGAAAGGATAATAGAGAGCAAGCAAGAAAGCAACTGAAAACCTTTGGGACATTTGTAGGTTCTAGTGAGAAACTGACACTCAAGAAGATAGGAAGCAAAATAGGCAAATGATGTAAAAACCATCAATGTGAAATTTAGGGATCATGGGAAAGATACTAAGGATACAACTCAGGAATCTTGCCCCTAAAGAGAGTTTCAGGATAGGAGACAAAGTCTGGTTTAGGAGAGAGGCCTGATGGAGAAAGTATAAGGCATTTAAAGATAGCATTTCAGGTATCACTTAAAAGACTGTCTTAAGATCTGGCCAGGCTTGCCTGTAAATATGGTGATGTGAGCACACAGCTCAGTTTCTCACTAGAGACTAAGTCAACTAAAGTTGACTTTAGGCTGCTGGTAGAATCTAGGCCTACTTAGTCCCAATTGAGACAAAAGTAAAAGGGATTATTATTTCTTGGTTCTGAGCTATAGAAACTGGCTTAAGGCTGAGTGCAAGAGTGATATGTGATCAGCTCTGCTTCCAGAGGTTGCAAGATGATGTTTGATGGTAATCTGAGAGCTAGAGCCAGACTGACCTCACCATTGTGAGTTAGAATGAATATTCTAAAGCCTCACAATTTAGAGGACCAGTTATGTGACTTGTGCCTAGATCCTGTGATATCCTCTGGAAGCATTTTTGGAACCGTCCCTACATGTAGCACCCAGATCGTGCTGAATCCCTAGAATGATCACAGACCAGATTTATGCCCTCTGTGGGGTGGAAAGGTGAGACAAGCGTTCATTCAGCTCCCAACTTCTTGCCTTTTATTCATTCAACACTTATTTGCTGATCATTTAATAAGTGCCAGATACCATGCTAGGTGCTAAGGGAATAAATAGATGTGTTAGGAGATGTTTCTTGCCATCAAATAAGTGTTAATCTGCTATTTAACATGAAACTTTTGTGTGCAGTGGAAAAATTAAACATGGTGATGGTGCTGGATGCACTCTTCCTATGTCCTTAGACTCACTACTCAAAGGAACTTCCCACTCACCATTGGACTTAAGCTGCTCTACCAAAAGCTGCCTGTCAGCTCAGCCAAGGCATCGCAGAGGCCAGGAAAAAGTTCTAGTAACCTCAGGTTTAAGTGCCAGAGCTGGGAGGGATGAGTGGTTGTGGTAGGACGACAGCTGAAGCCTCCCATCTTTACACTTAAGTCCCTTGTCCTTTACACCACTACCTTGCTGGATAGGCTGGAGGGCCAGGGGCTATGTTTCAGTTACTGAGTGAAACCTGCTTGAATCTAGGGCCAGGACCAAGATGAAGCGAGTAAGGCCCCAAGGGTGCACAATTTAAGGAGGCCCTCGCCTGACCCTGAGAGCAAGTGCCTTCTTAAATTGTGTGTCCTGGGTGCCTCACTGGCCTCTTCCTAGTCCTTGCCCTACTTTCATCAATACAGGACTGACAGAAGAATAAGCTGGTTTACTTACCCGCCCTCTCCCCAGCAGGCCCTCCTTTGAGCTCTGTTTGCATCTGCTTTTGCACAGTATCTCAGAGACTTGACTCCCTCACTCCATCATTGTATTAACTATCCCCCAGCGATCTCTCCTTCCTCCTCCACAGCTGCTGATAGTGCTGTCTGCGCTTCTGAGCCCAGTGGACAGGAACCTGACCATGGGTCTGGGAAGGCAGTGCTCAGGGCCTGTTTTGCAGAGGTAAAGATCCTGGCACTACGGTCAGGGAGTAGGCTTACTCAGAGGCTCTTCCAGCCTCCTGCCCTGGGAACATTCCTATTCACCCCAAGTTGGCTACTTTTTGGCTTTCTAAAATGTCATCCCCCAGTGTCAGAGGATAACCTATCAGACTAGTTCCCTGAACCTCTCTGCCTTAAGCTTCTGGCTGGGCTATCTAGATCTTTTCTGAAATTTCCTGGATAGCCTAAGCTCATGTTTTGTTGTAGCCAAGAAAAGATAGTCATTAATTAAATGTTTTTTACATTTTTATACATTAGTGGAAGTTTTCTTATAGGTAAGTTTACAAGTCAAAACGAAAATCCTCTGTCAAATCACAATCCCAGTTATAGGTTTGGAAAGTATGGTTGCTTTATAGTTAGGTCTCAGAGATGTGGGGGTTGTGTTCTTCCTATCTTGGAAGATGAAGTATGCCCAGATATGGCAAGGGCCAAGGAGCCAGATGTTTGGAACCAGGAAATGTCACAAAGTTATAGCACAGGACAGATGACTTTAAACAAAAAACAAGGTTTTCCAAGGGTTGGTTGAAGATGCCAGATCCAAATACCACAGTCTGCATGACAGGTCCCTGTCCCAGGCCAAGGCCAGTCTCCCATCTTGGAGTCACATCAGGGACTTTTAAGAGATGAACCATCAAAAACTATAGCACGAGCAAAGGCCCAGGAGAACATAGGAGTCAAGATTCCCGGAATCTGGCCTTTCAACTTACAGTATTCCTGTTTGGCATTATTAGTGACCCTCTTCTTGACCCCTTGACTTTAGAGACATAGCTTCTAGTTCTTACAAATATTTATGCAAGTCCCTGGGGTGTCTCTGTACTCAAACCAGTTCTTTTCCTGCTTCTAAGCTCATTCAGTTGGGGGAACATAGCATCTCACTTGGTTGTACCTGCACCTGTACATGGATGACTCCTAGATCCAAGCCTGATGTCACCTCTTCTACAGTTTGGCCCTTTTTCTGCCTGCAGGAGAACTCCATATAGATAGCCCATGGTATCCAAGCATGTCTAAAAAGTGGCATCACTTTTTCTTTGAACAATGTCTTAATGTTTACCATGACTTTTTCCTTTAGCTTGTAGCCTTGAAGCTCTCTTAGTTCATCTCTCTTCCACCATCACTGAATCCTGCCACTTCCATTTCTCATATGTTTATTCATCTGTCCTTTTCAGACCCTGGTACAGGCACTAGTCATCTCATGCATAAACTACTGCAAGAATCCCGCCTCCCCTTCCCTGCCTGATACATGCAGTTCACAGACAGCTCTCTTAAATAAGTCTTTTGTTCCCATCATTCTCAGGAGCACACAGTTGGGGCCATTTGTCTTGTTAACTCAGAGTCTTTGTTTTTAAGACATTTCGACTTCTTCCTCCCCCCTCTCTCCACCTGATCTCCGTATGAAGGGCTTGGCCTGTTGAGCCAGCTAGTATACTTGCTTTTTGTCCTCCCTACGCAGCAGCTCTGGTCCTGGCTATTATTCCCATTTGGGAATGTTTTTGTCAAACCGCATACCACCACTCATTCTTCAAAACCATTTCTCAAGGGAATATTCTTTGGTTAATTACTCTGGTGTTTATCTATGACAGTGGCTCCCCAAGTCCCCTGTACATTTATAATGTGCGTGCTTTTATGTTGTGTTTACTGTCCTGTGTCCCCTATTAAGTTTCAAGTCAGTCAACAAGGAATTACTTTGTACTGACTATGCCTATTTTCTATTAGTTATTTGGGGAAGTAACAAAGAAACAGAATATATGTCATCCACTCAAGGAGCTTAATACAGCACTCAGCATTGGGAGTGAGGGTAGGGAGGATGTTAATAAAATATTGATTCAAAACTGCCTAGAATCTTCCAGTGAGGACCTAGAAAAGGCTCTTTACTATTTTCCTTTTGTAGTCAGGGAAGGAGAATTTACGATGCTGATATTCCCTCCCAGGAGCTATGAGTTAAGAGGAAAAGAAATTAGAAGAAAAACTTTATTTAGATTTAAGATGGGGAACTCAAATATACTGGAGCATGAAAAGACATAAGTTTGAATAATTCTGCCACTTAATAGCTTTGCAGTCTTGGAAAAGTCACCCTTAAACAGCCTCAGTTTCCTCATCAGAAAAATGGAAATACTGTCCATTCCACAGGGTCCTTGTGAGGATTAAATGAAACATGTGATACTGTTTTGTTTACTGTTTAATGCTATTTAAATATAAGGAATTATTACTTTAATACTCTCCCTTCAAACACAGTGTGCAAAAGTGTCCTTTCCTGATGAAGACAGAATCTCAAAGAATGGGGCTTAGAATATAAGCAGAGGTAACTACGTTGCGTATCAGGGATAGAACATCTTACTGGTCAGAGCTGGTAAGGACCATTGCTCTCTCTGTGGCTTCTCTAACTAGTACAGTCAGATTTCCACAGCTACTGACCCAGTGCATATTTCTGGTCTGCACCAAAAGCTTGTTGCAAGCTGAGTAGCAGGGAGGTGCTAACAAGGATTAGTGTAGCGTGAAAACCAGCAAAGCTCTCAGTTCCAGCTTACAAGCCTCCATACTCTGGCAAAATTTCTGTAGCCCAGAAGCCACATACAATATTGATTTGTGGTTTAGTGTATTTCCAGAAGTGGCAGTGTAACAATCTCTCCCCACGACAATCCAGGTCACTCCCAAGGAATGGCTCCGTACTCCCTTCTGCGGCTTTTTTCCTAAAGGCCCATCTGTTTCTGATATACATTTTGACCCACAATCTCTTGTCCTATCAGGCAGGGTCTCATCAGGCCACACCTAGGGATAGTGATGCCCAGTTGAACAATTGTGGCCACTGATGAAGATGCCAGACTGCTGCTTTCTAAGCCTAGAACAGAAAGCTGTCTGTAGCTGTTCCATTTTCCTTCGGAAGAGCTGGAATCCTTCTGATATCACTTTCTGAATAGGCTCTGAAGCCAGGAACAATTTCAGCCCCTAGAGACCTTGGAGAGGATCTCCATCCTACAGTGCTGCCGTTTGGATTGTGAGGATATTTCCTTATGCTGCTCCTGACAAGACAGACTGACCCTGTCCTTGATGCGGAGGCACCAGGTGTCAGTGTGGCTCTGCTTTGGCTAGTGTTTCGTCCTTGGAAACCCCCCTGCCTCCCAGAATGTGCTGATGCCCAGAGACCCAGGACTCCCGCCTATGTCACACATAGTACCGCTCTGGAGCTCATGCCGCAGGGAACACCAAGGTCGCAGGAAAGGCTGCAGATTCTGCTATAAACTAACTTTATTGAGTCACCCCTTGGTCCCAAGGCCAAGTGTGTATCTTCAAGCTCTCACTTCCCCCAGCAATGCCCCAAACAACTGAACACCTGTTGCAGGGGCTCCCAGACTAGCTTACCTCTGACAGGGCCCAGCACCCGGTGGCTGACCTTTTGGGTGCTAGAGCCCAGGCCTGGCAGCCCTGCAGGCCGACTGCCATGAAAAGGAAAGCTGGGGGAGTTCTTCATCTGTGGAGAATTTTGTTGGCTGCTGCTGCTACCACCAGCACTTGTGCCAGTGCTAAAACTTCGTGCACGGCTCAAGGTATTTTCAGAGCAGGAGACAGGCAATCCACTGCAAAGAAGCAGATGCCAGTTAACCCTGGGTCAGGGATGTTGTGTCCCAAGTACTTCCCCATGGTCTGATGCTCAGTACAGCTTCACATCTGGGGTGCAAAGGCACAGGGACTCATTCTAAGGAAGACGGGAGGAATCCATGGCCATGGATGATGAGGTGTCTAACCTGGGGCATACCAGCTGACCTCACAATGCTGAGGAGCCCTTGTTCATGCATACATGCTCCTGCAGAAAATAGGCTAAGAGCCATAAGGGCTGTCCATGGGCAGCTTTAACTGCCAGGGAATTCCCCCCTTACTGCCCTGATACTGGCCCCTGGGCCCCTCAGTCAGTCACTCACAAACACTGGAAGCTGAGACCTGCCCCCCACCCCCAATTATACTTGATTTTGTGTAGGGCTCTGGAGCCAGGAGTCCCCAAGCCTGATTTTCAGGTAGCTAGGAAGTATGTAGCTCCAGGTAAAATGGAAGAAGATCCCATTCTCAGAAAATTTTAATTTACCCTGAAAATATTCACCATGTGATTCTTCTGGAAATAGGGAAAGAACACAGATCCCTTGGAACTCTTCACTCCAGAGCCCTGTTCCACCTTCATACCCTTTCTCCCTTCCACTCTGCTGGGCTTACTTGTTACTTTTGGGTGGAGTTCGAGAGCCTCTCTTCTTGTTGACACCCACGTTCACAGTGCTGCTCAGGCCTCGGCTGCTGCGCACGTGTTTTAGCATCCAGGCCCGGAGGTTCGTGAGGCTGTTGTGCTCTGACAGCACAATTCGAGGCCACGGATTGCATTCTGCCATGTCCAGAGCTGCAATGGCCATAGCTCGTCCCACCTGTGGGGGAGCCCAGGTGGCTCAGTGTCTTGGTCTTCCAACCCAGGCTGCTGTGTTGGGGTGGGGTGCACAGCACAGTGGAAGGAAAGGAGAGGCCAGGCTTCAAATTTGTTCAATGGGTACCCTAATTTTTGTGCCCAGGCTATTTATCGCAAGTGAATTTAGAGTTGTTCCCCAAACCAGTGCCCATTTTGAGGCCTTCATCCATTATGCACGGGTGGATGACCTGGCTGGCACCAGGAAGGAGTTCTCCCAGCACGAGGAGGCGTTTGGATCTCTTCTATAACCCACAGCTTGCTCTACTCTGGCGTGCCCTAGGACACTGAGGATCATCAAGGCCACCGTACACGGGGTGCGTTTAGTCCAGGAGTGAACAAACCCAACAGAAGTAGGAAGACAAGCTCAGAGGCAAACACTCTGACTCTGATGTGGTAGGGGATTCTCTGTGGTGGGGGGTTAGAAATAGTGCCTATTCATTCTCTCAACACCATTACAGTCAGCGGCCTGTGCCTGTGAACTGAGGAAAATAACCACAGTGGTAAGCTGGCGGCAGTGCTGAGCCTCTCTTCAGAGGACCTTAGAGTCAAGCAGCAGGAGTGAAGCCCTTTCCAGACTTTGAGGTTCCCCTTTTCCCCACTAATCCCATGTATTCATACCTGCTCAAACATTTCCACAGTGTATCTGGAGGGGAAAGCCGGCGGGGGAGGGGGGCTGGCGCGCCCGTTGTCATGGCAGGCGGCAGGGATGCTGTTTACTGAGCGTCCAGTGTTGTAGTTGCATTCAAGTGTGTAGCTAAGACACAGAGACCTTTATTAGTGTCCTGCCTGGACAGAATCAGGACAGAACCATGGGAGACAGCCTAGGTGGTCTGAGAAGGTAATCACTTGGAAAAAAGGGGACGCAAACAGAAAGTGCTAATCCCCAGCAACTAGCAAGTGACCTCAGCACTTTACCATATACCCAAGAAGGTCCAAAAGGTAGAGTCCCAGACTAAAGACAGTAATGCTATTTGTGAGTCTGCCTTTTGAGAAGACCCAGGTGGTCCTCTGCCCCTCAAACATCCTAGACTGGGTATTGTTTTCTTTAGGGAAGCTATTTCATCTGCTGTATCCCAGTTTCTACCCAACCTGTGGATTATCCCTGAGGCTTTGTAGATTGCAACCCGGCCGCTTCCCTCCTTAGACTGGCCATCTCTGCGGTCTCGGGCATACATATTCTTCTCTGAGAAATTGCAGCCCTGGAAATCGAAGTGGGCTGAGTTCAAGGAGATGAGCTTTGGATACAGCATATTTTCCACCTGTTTGGGGGAGGAAAAAGGCAACTCAGAATGAGAGACAGAGAGAAAGAAGGGACCGGGGCAAGGAAGAAATGGCAAGCATGGGGCCACGTGACAATACATGGCAGATACCTTCATAATCATCAGCAGCAATCAATGCTTAGTGAATTCTCACTGAATGTTTGATATTATTTCTAGGTGTTGGAAAGGTACAAGTTTCCCTTTGTTTAAAACTCTTAGCTGCTTCTCTCCAATAATGCAAAATTTTCCTTCTCCCCTGGTTTCCCAAACTCTAGAAAACACTATGATGCTGACAGCTTGACTGTCTTTCAAAGGTCATGATGTAGACTGAGACATATATAAGGGGCCCCAGTGCCATCCCTTCTTGGCCCTTCAAGCCTCCTTCAGAAGTAGTTTGCCTCTGGCAGCCACAGGCCTTCCTGCCTGAAGGCCACCTCCTCTCTGTTCATGGCCTCACCTTTATCTCCTAACTTGCAACACTTCCCACACTCATGTGACATTCCGCAATTCCTACCTGGGTGCTCTCATCACTAAAGCTGTTTCCATACATGAAGCAGCCCCTTTTGGAAGCATGTCCGTGCAGATCTACATAGTAAGCAACACCACTCTCTTTGGGGGGGATGGTGTCGGGGGCTGGCTGCTCAACCTCAGGGGACTGTTGTGGCATAATCCACACCCTGTTGGGCTTCTGCTCTGCTGGCTCAGTCTGTGTCCACGCCTTAGGGTTATCCTTGTCAGATGTGTGCCCAAGGTGAGCTTCATTTTGTAGGTTGTTGGCTTTTTCAAAGTCAGAAAGGGGAGCATCAGCAGGGAGACGAGGACTGTAGTGGTGCTCAGAGGGACTCTGGGACTTTAGACCGGAATGCACATGGTGGTAGAGAAGTACAGCTTTAGCTCCATAGATGGCCGGGTGCAGGACTGCATCAGGCTTCAGGTACTGACGGTTCAGATTCACTCCACGTGAGTCTGTGCTGTAGGGAAACAAGGACGGAAGCAGGGTCTAGAGGGCTCGGCCAGTGAAGGAGACACCAGAGTAGATGAAAAGGAGACTGACTTATAAAATGAGAAGCTGAAGCTGCATTAGGAAAGAAGAATTGAGGATAGGCCCTCTCCTTGACTATCTCTCACCCCTACCAAAGAAACCTAAGGACAGCTCCCTCTACCCAGATGGCCCTGCAGTTACTCAAGCTCTGCTCCTTCCAGGGAGTGCCACTAGATGGGTTCACATTCCTTCTTGGGTCACTGGACCATTAGATGGGCTTGCCCTTGTTAGGGTGCAAGAGCGCTGGGAACCCAGGAGAAGTCAGATGACAGGCTGACGGTATTTCAGTGAGATACAGGGCATGACAGGGACAAGGACAATCCAGACAGGCAGGGAGGCTTCTTACCGGTAGTGGCCCCGGACCACACCATCAGGGTTCAACATGGGGATCAGCTTAAAGACAAAGAGACGACGTAGGGTTTGGGCCCGGGGGTCATCAGGTCGAAGGATGAAGTCCAGAAAGCCATTGAAGACAAAGCTAGATGGAGTCTCCCCAGGGTGTACCCTACTGCTTAAGAAGAATATCTGGGTGGAGAGGAGAGCAGTCATTAGGTTGGTTACTCCATAGGTCACTCTAACAGCAGATGCAGGGGCGGTGGGGGGCGAAGTTTGAGGTGGGAATAGCCACTGGATTTCCAGCTAGCTGAGTTTGCGAGTGGAGTAGGAGCTGTCACACTTGCCTCAGAATGCAGGCTGAGGCCATGTCCAAGATGCCTAGAGACAGCATGGCTTTAAGCTATCAACACTGCCTGGAGCTAGGGAAAGGCCAAGGTACTACTTTATGCTATTCCACTCACCCTCTTGCCTGTGAAACAGAATGGTCGGGGGGTGCCGGTATCAGGAAATAGCTGCTCTAGACGGGGCTCTCGATCTTCCCGAAGCCCATGGCAGGAACTGATTGTTAGCAGATCTACACGAAGTCCATCCAGAGAATAGCAAAGGATCTCCCGGTGGTAATAGATGGTATCCCGGGGGCTGTAGGGATAAAAATTATTAAGCCAGGAGAAGTCTCTAAAGTCCTAGCAAGAGTTGGGCCTGCCCAAGATTTGTAGGATCTTGTTCTCCACCCTAACCTTTGGGGCCTTACCGTCCCTCACAGTCTTAAATGAGGCTGAGGATTTGGGTGGGTCTGCATTGCCTGAAGGCAGAGTATAGGACAAGATGAACTTATTGTTTTTTCCCCAGTTTATGGCTCCCTAGGATAGACAACTTTGCATAGACAGAGAAAGTTGCCCTCCTTTGGGACAGAAAAAAAAGGTGTGCTGAGCTATGGCAGTGCTGGCTAAATTCTGGAGAACTGATGGGAGCTGGGATACTGAGGCTTGAACTGAGCAGGTGGATGAGTGGAGTGGAGGTGGTGGTATGCTGAGATCAAGGTCACAGAGAAATATATTTGTCAAAGGTACCCAATGTCCCACGTTACAGAGAAAAGAACTGATGAAGTTTTGGTTCAGGGTTCTTAGAGCAAATTCCAGAAGCAGCAGAGGTACTGTTTAGTCCAAGACTGTGTGGCAGGAGTAAGAATAGTGTTGGCACCTGCTATGGGTAGGGTGGTTCTCCAGAAAGCGCTGGTCTAGCTGGTTTAGCAAATCCTGGCAGTCATGGTAGGAGAAGGGGTAGCAGAAGGCGAAGAAGGTGGTGGCCCCACGGCCCTCCACGAAACGGTGAACAAAGGACAACACAAACTGCGTCTCTGTGATCTGAGGAGCAGAGAAGGAAGAGGGAGGGCGACATGCCATCGGTGTCAGAGCTAAGAGCCTACTGGGCTCACAAGGAACTGACCTCACATCCTCATCACTTTTCCAACTTTCCTCCGTCTGAGACTTTCCATACGACAACCAGCTCTTTCTCAGTTTCTCGAGGCAGGGGCTTATCATGGACTCCAGCTAGTGCTGGAGGGAAAGCTGGTGGTACCAATGCTACCTGCCTAGTACTCTGTATCAAGGGTAACTCCTCTTTCCTGTCCTTCCTCTATTTTTAGCACCCAAGTCTTTCTTTCCTCCTCAAGGAGAACTTACCTCAAAGGTGGGCCGGTCTCGAACACGTTCCCAGCGTGGCCGGGTAGGCAGTGTGCGCACAAAGGGGGCCATGCCCTGGGAATACAGCTTGCTTTGCTTGTTCATGTTCATAATGTTGATCTTGATGAGTTTCCCTGGAGTTCCTCCCCGGACACTGAAGTAGAACCATGACCTGAGGGCCAGAGTAGGAGAGACAGTTCATTACACATGGGAGGGTTGGAGAGGGGATACGTGGGAGAGCTGGAGAAAGACAAAACTGGGAAAAGGCTATTTAGTAAGGAGGGAGGGAAGGAGAGAGGGAGGGCGGGGTAGGAAGAGGAAGGGTAGTGTGCTGGTATGAACTGTAAATCAAAGGGCTAAGTGACGAATGGACTTGGGGACGGGACATCCCCTCTCTTTTCCTTCTTCCACCCTCCATTACTTTCCTCTTACCTGTTCCCATTCTCAAATTCTGTTTCAGCACAGTCTGGTCGGGTCCACACGTTGAACTCATAGTCAGGGGAAGAGGCAATGCTGCTGGTGGGAGCTGATGCCCCACCTGCTACTCCTTCCCCATCATTAGACACAGATTCCACCTTCTCCACGTGGGCTAGATTCCCTGAATCAAAGCGAGAACTGAACAGCAATCCCCCACAGCGCAGCTCCATGGTGGGGCTGGGAAAGCATCCTCCTGCCCCACTCTGGCCCTGAGAGCTGGGGAGAAGTGGGAGGTGGGGTAGGGAGGAGAGGGAAGAAAAATGAGAACAAGTTTTTTTGGGTATCTTTGGATAAATGAGAGCTACTTTTAGGGAGTGCCGGAAGAAGCAAGAGGCTCTCTCTCCCTTAGAAAAGGCCTTCCAGCAAAGGCCAAGAGAAAGCAGTATTGTGTCCCCACAGTAAGGGTTATAAGTGCCCTAAAAGGACCCCATTTTACTACAGCTTGGCTATTCCAAAACGAAATATTCAGCGGCTTAACTATGTTGAAATACTAGACTCTAAGTTTTTTTGCAGCCCAAAGATTAGAGAATATAGTGAGGTCAGATTGCCCAAACCTAGCCAAGATACACCCACCACCACACATGGCCATCTTGAAAGACGGGCCATTCAGGAATTTTGGTTCCTAGATTGGCTCCCCACTCACTCTCCAGCAGGGCAGAGCCAAGAGAACCAAGTTTCTAAGTTTAAATGGGCAGCTTCCTTTCTCCACTCCTCTGTCCTCACAAGTACTGACCAGGCATTCTTCTTTTGCTCCTCTAAACCCTGGAAGAGCTGGTTCTTCCTTTTTTTTGTCATACCCTATGCCTATTATGGAAGAAAACTAGAAAAGTGTGGCCTTTGCCAAGCCAAAGGGAATTGGGCAGAAGCCATCTGCTCACCTAGAGACTGTAGCTCTATTCCAGTTAGGGCACGGGTCTGTTTCCACCCCCCCCCCCCCCCCCCGCCCGTAAGCACTGGAGCCCCTGAAAAAGCTACCCTGGTAGCTGTGGGAATGGGTGTTCTAAGCACCCCTAAAACAAGTGGCTGGTAGAGACCCACTTGGGGGCAGGAGCGTGGCTTCTCGACCTTCGACTCTGAAGGACCCTCACACTGACCTGGGCAGAGTGGGGTTTGGAGGCATGGGGTGGGTCGGGACAGACTCACACTCGCGGGAGGGTGGGAAGGCAGGGAGTAGGGGTCAGTGGCGAGGCCACAGGAGTGGAGGTGGGGCCGGGGTGGGCCGGCCCGCCAGCCGGCCGCGCGGCGCTGTGGGATTCCAGAGGGGCTCCGGGTGAAAGGGGCTGAGAAGGGGGCGGGGCCGGCGGGGCCCGCACCCCACGCAGAGCCCCTCACCTCTCTCCGGGCCGGTGGTCCCGCTCCCTCTCCCGCTAGCGAGGCGCCACCTCGGGCCCCGGCACCCGGTCCTCCACCCAGGACCCAAACAAAACCCGACCGCCGCGGTGCCGGGACCCCGCTCTGCCAGGAAACAACAAGTCTCTCGCCTATTGGCCGCGGGTACAGCTGGCTACCCGCCCAGTAAAGCTCGCTGCCATTGGTCAGCACGCGGGGGTTCCCTCGCACGTTAGCGGGTACCTGAGCCAGGGCCGTTCACGGGCTCGGCTGGTAGGAACGGCGGGTGGGGTCCTTCCGTGTCTTCTCGGAAGACGGTTAACGGCCTGCCCGCCGGGAGGAGAAACAGACAAAGTGACCAAGAAGTAAACTGGAAAAATTCACCTGCAAAATAAAAGGACAATGTGTGAAGCTAATCATTGCCTACCATGTTCCTCTATGTATTAGAGGACACCCACCCGGTTCGGCTGATTTCCCGCTGTTGAGAGATCGTGTGGTGCGTGGGGCAAAAAGCTCAGTGGAGGATGCGGGCATCGATCCCGCTACCTCTCGCATGCTAAGCGAGCGCTCTACCATTTGAGCTAATCCCCCAGCTGCTACTGATTTTCTTCCCTTTGCCTTACAGGTTGTTCTGGGTGGCCCGCTGACCAGCGGACCAACGGCAATTCAGGACATTCATTTAGCGCTCGAGTACAGTGTGACCATGGACAAGATTTTTAAAAGCAGGCATACAATAAGTACACGTAAGCAATGGTAATAAATCCCTATTTAAAAACACATTTTAACATATCTTTCTATCTAACCCGCAAGAGAGCTGTACCGTACGCTACTTCTCGCATCTGTGTTTAACCGAACATCGGCAGTGCTCATGTAAATTCGCAGTCCGCCTCCGAGCAAACCTTTCTCCCCAAGGGGTACTTAAGTAAGTGGAGGGTAAAAAGTTGCACGAAGTCCTTCGAGCCGGAATCGAACCAGCGACCTAAGGATTGCCACGGCTTGTCCACTACAGTCCTCCGCTCTACCAACTGAGCTATCGAAGGCCTCGCTGATCTCGCATCCTACCGACTCCCCTCTAATGCTTACTGAGGCCGCACTCCTCCAGGACTTGAGGGAGCCTGGGGAAACCTGGCTCCCATTTTCTAAAGGAGTACGCCCCCGCCGAGCCCCTCCTGGCCGCACAGAACAGAGGAAGCGGACGACAGAAGTGCGAGCAAAGGACGCTGCCACAGGACCGGCTTCCCAACCTTGGACGAAGGAAACAGGGGCAATACGTTTCCCTGCTTTTAAACAACAATAAAATCCTCCCCATCCCCTCACTCTCTGGTGGCTTCTATAGGATTTCGGATGCTTAGAGACCCGACCCACAACCCTGAGCTTCTGGGCGGCATTTACCCGGAGCGGCGGGTACGCACACGTGCTCTGCAATTGCAAGGCGCAAGCCCCGCTTGCAAAGCAGATGGCTTACTTTTGCTATTTCTGCTCCACATTTCCCTTCGGTTTCTCCGGGGCGCCAATGAAATCCTACTGCTCTCCCGCTGTGAAGGACATTCATTCAGTCAATTAACCAACGTTTTGTCAGGATCTATTCATCCTGACTAGAGTAAGAAAGATACAAACCACATTGCTGCTCAGAGCCGGCAGGGAGGTGCAAGATCCAGCGGCGCCGAAAACCCGCGATTCGGGACTGGCCGGCGGGGCCTGAATAGGGCCACGCCCTTCCACCCGGCCCTGCTCTGTTCGCCTCACACCTTCACCTTCTTTCCAGAGGCCTGGGATGCCAGCCCACAATCCTTTGCCCACTAGAAGCTCCCAGGGTTTTAAAACAAAGAAACAAACCTAAAACCCAACTCGTCTGTGAAACCTTGCTTCGTAGCCTGGCAGGATGGGCATACAGGAGACCTGGCCTCCATTCCCAGCTCTGCGGCCAGCTGCCTGTGCTACCTGGAATCACAAGCGCCCTGGGCAAATCCAGGTCAGGTGGTAGTTTCGAGAGCCCCTTGCAGTTCCGACATTTTATCGGGACTCCCAGGCTGAGCTGTAAATCCGAGGTCTCTGATGCCGTTAAGCACAACACGGCTTTGCGTCCATCCACAAAGCAGGTTCACATCTTGGTTTAACTTCATTCTGCTGCTAAAATGTACTATTGTGTCCAAGAGCGTCACTTTGGGATAGTTTTCTTTGGCACAGTATTTAGCGCGCTCTCTCTTGAGCGGAGGGAGGCTGGGAAGCAGAACACATTTAATTGCGTTGCTTTTTTTTTGAGGCGAAATTCACATAACATACAATTAACCATTTTAAAGTATGCACCATTCAGTGGCATTTAGTGCACTCATAATGTTGTGCAAATTATCACCTCTCTAGTTTCAGAACTTTTTTTTTTAATCACCCTAGACGAGCATCTCCTACCCTTTAAGTAATGACTCCCTGGAAACCACTAATTTGCTCTCTGTCTCCATGGATTTGCCTATTCTGGAGATTTCATATAAAAGAAACCATAAAATATGTGAGCTTCTGGGTCTGATTTCTTTCTCTTATCATGTTTTTGAGACTCCAAGTTGTAGCATGTATTGGTGTTTTGTCCCTTTTTGGCTGAATAATATTCCATTGCATGGAATACTCCTGTTTATCCATTCATCTGTGGATGTATACTTGGGCTATTGCCACCTTTTGGCTTTTATGAATAATGGTGCTGTAAACATTCGTGTACAAGTTTCTGTGTGGATGTTTTCATTTCTCTTGGGTCTATACATAAGAATGGAATTGCAGCGGTTTATGGTAACTATATGTTTAACTCTTTGAGGAACCACCAAACTGTTTTCCAGTGGCTGAACCATTTTACATTTCCACCAGCAATGTAAGAGGGTTCCAATTTCTCCACATCCTTGCCAACATTTATTTTCTGTATTTTTTTATTATAGCCAACATTTCAATAAGTTGAGCTCAACTGGTTAATTATAAGCATTCTCCTGTCATTAAAGATACTATCACCATTTGAATAGCCATTTCCCATCTTTTGGTTTTACAATTTATTGAAATATTCATCCTATTGGTGGACAGCTTTATCCAAATTTTCGCTAATACTGCTACAATAAGTGTTCTTGTACATAAATCTTTGTCCATATTTCTGTTTACTTCTCTATTCTCTAGAATGCATTTTTAGGAGTGGAATTACTTGGTAAAATAGTATGAAACTTTTAAGCCTTTTGAAAAATATTACCAACTTACTTCCCAGAAACAGTGTATCAATTTATGTCATAGTATTCACTGAGTACATTATCCCTTTAAAAATATCTGTTAATATGATAAGCAAAAGTGGTATCATTTTAAATTTGTACTTCACCAATGAAATGGACATTTCCCCCCTCATTTGCATTTCTTTTAGGAATTATGTATTCTATCCATATTCTTATTGTTGTATTTAGTGCTTTTCTTATTGATTTGTAAGAGTTAACATTATTTATGATAAGCTCAGTAAGGAAATGGAGGCCTTGATCAACACACAAAGCAACTAGACCTGACATACACAGAACATTCCACCCAACAACAGAATATGCATACTTCCCAAACACACATGAAACATTCTCCAGGATAGCCCATGTTAGGCAACAAAACAAGTCTGAATTAATTTAAGATTGAAATCATACAAAGTATGATCAATGCAAACTATGGACTTTGGGTGATAGTGATGTATCAGTGTGGGTTCACTGATGTTGACAGTAGGGTAGGCTGTGCGAGTGTAGGGGCAAGGTGTACTTTTTGCTCAATTTTGCTGTGAACCTAAAACTCTTCTTAAAAAATTAATAACTGCTGTGCTAACATAGTAAAAAATTATACCAGGGCACACCCAACAACACGTCTGAATTTAGTGTTTTTATTAATAGGCAGAATATTCAATATTCAGTAAATATTCACTCATACCCTGAATGGTAGAAGCTCCCACACACAGCCCCCCAGCCTCCACCTCCAAATTCCTTCCTACACCTCAAGTTTGGGGCAAGGAAACTGCTCAGTAAAAATGAAATACCACATAGGGGAAAACAAGGTCCTCTGTCCCCTCAAGCCCTTTTGGGGGCAGAACCACAAAGAGTATACAGAAAAAGGATGGAGGATGGAGGAGTTCGCTTAAATCCAAACTCCTTTAGGAGCGGTAAGACAATGAAAATACTCAGAGGTCATCCAACCATTGAAATTTCTGTGTAACTGACAACGGGTCATTCTGCAATAGAGTCGGGTGACAGGGCAGGCATGCCTGCCTCCGTGGGAAACACTCCACCATCAGGGTGGCAGCACTTGAAAATGGACGGGCATGCCACAGGTGTGAGCCCAGCAACATTATCTATCTGTAGTAAGGCAAGCCACCCATCCAGCTACCTGGCTTTAAAGCTGAAGTTGTAGATTGTGTACAAATAACCAGAGGAATCCAGAAACGTGCTTTCAGATTTAAGAAGATGGTAAGAAGTGTTTCAAATGAGTCATGTGATATAATGTGCAGGTCCATACAAGAATTAATAACTAAAATTAGTAAGAGATAACCATACTCAAAACTGTCCTTCAGTTTTATGGCGTGTTATCTGTAGAACTCCAGCTGTGTGTGAAAAGTACAGTTACAATGTCCAGGTGTGACACTCTGAGGTGTCAGTTTACTTCTGTTATTCCAAAAACACCAAGAGTCATGGTGTGATTGCCCATCTGTCAGCATCAGAGTGTTCTCTACTAGTCCACACTGGTTCACTCACTGGGTCAGTCTGGATTCCTGTTTGTTGGCAGTTCTGCAAAAATGAAACACCTGGATGTCTGGTTTAGTTTTAATGGACAGTAGATGAAACGTTGGACTATTGCTCTGACAGAGGAAAAGTTCTCAACAATTCCAATATTGGGTCAAAAAACTGTGTCTATCAAATAAAGCCAATTAAGATGTCCCTGTGAGAGGCTGTGGAGACCCCAGTTAACCTAAGTTGATGAAGAGAAACGGACCCCAGGCTTATGTCAGAAATTACATGAATCCAACAAGGTAAATATAGTACACACATTAGAAACCAATGTAGCAATTTTAAGTGGCATCCTCTGAGTTGCTAGATTGAAAGAACTCAGTCCAGTAGCCTTGGCTGGACTCAATGTCATGGTAGGATGGAGTGTCATTTTATTTGTCCTGTGCTATTGCCAACCCAGGCTCACACTACACCCCTTTCTTCAACTTGCCTTGAATACAGGCCAGTTACAAGGATTCACTATTCTTAAGTATTAAACCTGTTTGTTTCTGATTGGCAAGGAAAAATTGAGGAAATGGAGCACATCTTGGGACCCTTGGACAGTCCTGCCTAGCAGTGCTACTCTTTGGCCCTTTGCCAAGTGGGGTTTCTATTTTTCTGGGAAAAATGATCATAGCTAACTGCCAGTAGGAGAGCCCAACGTAGGCTGTTTAATTTCAGAGAGGTAACATATTGTAACAAGGAGAGGGAATAAAAATGTGAGATGCTATAATCCTCATGACCTCACATTGTGTCAAGATTTTTTATGCTTGCTACTTTATAATCTTGTCACTGAAAAATCAAGGCAACATCTCATGGCAGCAAGTGAAAGGTAAAGTGGTAGCTGCCCATGATCACTGCTGGTCATCTCAGGCATTTATGGGAAGCAGAAACCAGCCCGTGGAAATGGAGTGGGCGGTACATGTCTAGCACTGCCTATATTTTGAAACATTCAAGGAAAGAAACCTGAGGTGAGAAATGAAAACCTGCACAGCTATCTCACTTATGTAGTCTCAAATTAAAAATAAAAAGGGACTTTGGTGATAAACCCTTGACTCACATGTCTCTTGGAGTTCAAATCTTTCACTCACTGCCTTATAAAATAACCCAATTAATAAAGTGGCAAGGAAGAGGATACCCTCTGATCACTGGCCAAGAACAACCCGAGGAGACTCTCCCCTGCTTTTCCAAGCATAAAACACTCAAGCTATCAAGGCAAATCTTGGGACATGAATTACAGTCACAAGTGAGACAATGTAATTAGGGGAGCAAGAGGAGGAGTGTAGAATCTTCAACAGGCCCAACTTTAGAATGATGGGTGTGGGCTTTCCCTGTCGAAGCTCAATCACAGCCAGTGGCTACAACCCACAGGAGAGCAGGGGGCCAAAGGAGAACATGCAGGTGGCCTATATTTTGTTGTGCTGTCCATAACTATGGGAATTCCTAAACGAGAATGCAGAGAGGAAAGCTAGAAATCAAATCTGTGTCCTTTATTCCACCAGCAGGCATATCCTGTAGGCATATGCATATTCCACTAGCATAGCCATGCTGAACCCTGTCTCAACAGGCTGCCGGAAGGTTCCCTGGGCCTGAGGCATACAACTACCTGGGCTCTGCTCTCCAGATAGATGGCAGGGGTGGGCAGCAGAGAGAAGCCGAACCTTGAGGCAGTGCCTCCAAGCACTGAAGAGGAATGGAGAGTGAGGAAGTAGGACCACCCATGGAGGAAGCAGCGAGGGGCCTCGAAGGACCTATGTCGGGCACTGTGAGGTAAGAGGCATTTCCGCCCAGCTCTCCATATCCACAGCCGCACCCCAGGTTGTGGGTAGAGGTGAAGCTGCTATTTCCCGCTGTGATGCCAGATTCTTCTGGAGGTCCCTTTCCTTTTTCTGCTGTGGCTTAAGTCTGGGAGCAGGAATCATTCATCAGAATGTAGAAGACACTCGCTGGAATCCCACCTTTTTGGACATGAGCTGTGTGGGGCTTCAGGAATGAGATGAAAAGAAGTAGAGAGCAGAAGACAAGAGAAGAGGGGAGAGAGGCTACCAGCCCAGGGGAAGAGGCTGGGAGCTATGTGCAACAGGGCAGAGAAGTGTTAGTGGAATGGTGGGTAGGAGGTTGAAATACCTCTGGGTTCACTTGCCTCCAAAGATGGAAGAAGTGGGGCAGAGGTAACTGGCCCCTTGCCTAGGAGACAGAACTCAGGAACCAAGTACAAAAGACCCCCATGCAGAACTGCTACCCTCCACCCCCCAGCAGTCTCAGATGGCCTACCCCAGACAGAACCCAATGGCCAGGGAGGCAGGGCCTATTGTTGGGATATCATGGCAAGTGCCCAGTCCAAGAAAGCCACTGTGATGTCCTGTAGGCAGAGCCAGGTCCAGCGGGCAGCCTCACTGAGCTGTGTCTTCACGCAGTCCCAGGTCACCTCACCTCTGAGAGGAAAGCAGACCATTTGTGGGGATTGAACAGCAGTGGTGTGCAGCTGTGTCAAGTCACAGGGCTGCAGCTCAGACCCACAGACCTCATCCTGGAGGGACCAAGGGATGAGCAAGGGGCAGGGCAGAGGGAGAGACTGAACAAGGGAGACTTGCCCCTGGAGAAAGGGTGTGGGGCCACTGGGGCTCCTGCAGGAGCCCTGAGTGAGGGTCTCACCTGCACGCCTTGTGGCAGTGCTCCTGGGCCCAGGCCAGGGCCTCAAGCAGCATGTGCCACAACGGCAGCAGCATGTTCTGGTAGAGAAGCAAGAGCAGCTCCCTCAGAGAATGGAGCAGCTGGTTCAGGGCATCAGGGAGCTGGATCTGTAGCAGGATCATGGAGAACGGAGCAGGTTAGAAGGCCCAGGGAATGTATCCTGGCCCTGAGGACCCAGTCCACGTGGAGTTGCACCTTCCCAAGAATTTAGCTCCTCGTGAGTCCAGCCTTTCTTTGACCTCCATGTCTCTGGCTTACCCTCTGGGAGATGCTGGTGAGGCTGTCACCAAACCAGGCAAGGTGGGAGGCAGAGTGGGCAGAAAGAAAGCTGACTGTGGCATTGGTGTGGTCCCAGGCCAACTGCAAGCTGGGCCTCACCACGGTCAGCAGGTGGGAGCCCCAGGCTGGCAGTGTCTCCTCTAGCCAGCTGTAGAAGATAGAAGGGAGAAAGGAAGGCTCTGAGTTTCCTCAGGCAGCTTGGCTCCCCAAGAATAGCTGGGGGAAGGGAGGCCTTGGGAAAGGAAAACCACAATCACTTCCCACTGACTGTCAGTGCTGTCACTACCCTGAACAACCAAGCCCTCTGTCTCCCACCTCCCCTCTCCTCTCCCTGGCGGGTACTCACCTGTAGCCTTCCAAGCTGTAGGAGTAGATCTTGGCACATGCTTGTTGGCCAGCAGGCAAGAAACCAGATGACTGAAGCAACCGGCCAGAAAGGGAGGCTAAGTAAAGGGGGCCTCTGGTGAGCTGTGAGGTGAGGCGGGCAGGGACTGGGGAAACAGACACTACAGGCCCCAGAGCAGGCCCGGTTAGGGATGGGGCAGGAGCGAGGGTGCTCACAGGGCCTCAGAGCCAGCTCCAGGCTCACTTCTCCTGCCGCGCCAGGTGAGCAGGAATGGTGCAGCCAGGTGGACTGGCAGCCAGACGTCAGGAAGCCTTGGGTTTGAGAGTCTGCCCTTCCACTTACCCGTTGTGACCTTAAGCTAACTGATAAATCTTCCTGAGCCTCGATTTCCTCAGGAGTTAAAAAGGAGGTAACACCTACTCAAATGAGACCATGAACATACAAGTATTTCTATACTGCAAAGCACTAGACCAATCTCAAGTAGTAATGTCATAGCTGTGGACAGAAAAAATCTGTCTGAGAAGTGTTCGTTCTGCAGCATCAGGGCAGAGCTGTGCGTATTGGGAGTGGGGTGCTACACCTGGCTCTGTGCCCCACCGCCATGCCATTTTCCTTGCCTGCCTATCCCTGCTTACCCTGGAAAGAGCTGTGTGACCGGAAGTCGTGGCACAGAAAACCTACGGCAAAGACCAACACCAACAGGAGTAGCCGTGTCCAGGGCAGCCGGCAGCCCCGTGCTTCCTGCAACAGAGTCTAGGAGGAGAGGGGGTAGGAAGCAGTGGTCAGAAGGGAGGGGCTGGTCCTTGCCTCCTAAGGCAGGCCTCAAGCTAGGCCTTCCAGAGAGAGGATCAAGCCCTTACATTACCCCAGAGATAGCGGGGGCTCCAGCGAGAGGTGATAAAGGCCCAACCCAGGGTGTGCTGAGATAGAGATGCAGAATAGTGTGTGGGTTGGGGAGAGCTGAGTGCTGGCACCTTGCAGGCTGCATCACAGGTGACGACATCCTGGTTGTTAGAGCTACCCTTCCTCAGCAGGTCCTGGTTGGCAAGTTTGAAAGACTGAATGGTTTCTTGCAAAGACTTCCGTGTCTATAGGATAAGAAAGGTCTGGGTTGAGAACATAAGATGTGGCCTGAGGGAACCCAGAGTCTTTGTCCTGCTTCATTTTCCATGCCAAATGCACTAACAGATCCCCTTCTCAGGGAAAAGGGACAGTCACTGAGGGGTACGAACCCAGAACCCAGCCAGACAAGAGTCAGCCTGCCATGTCCTCCCAGCTCCTCACCTTCTTGGGAATCTGCTCCCAGGACCTGAGCAAGTGCTCCAGCAGCAGGCTGTGGGGAAAGCACAACCCCTTCCAGTCAGGGGCCCACTTGGCCCTTCTCATCCTCCTGTCCTCCATTAGGCTGCCAGCTCCTTCAGGCTGAAAGACTCTCCACGCTGTCCCCCCACCCCCAAACCCCCAGCAAAAGGAGCAGCTTCCTAGAGGCCACCAAGCAACATTCCCACTCAACTTGAGAGGCATGAGCCCAAACAACAGTGACAAATGTTCCCCTTGTGCTTGTAAGACAGGGACAGGCTGGGAAGCATGAACCAAGGCTTCTCTGTGTGAATTAGAGGGAGGTGACCCTCCTCCCCGACCTGCCTGGATTGTGACAGGTGCTTGGGGTACAGCTGCCTCCAGACACTGGCACTGAGGGAGTCCACCGTCAGGCACTCAGTTAGGCTGCTCAGGAGCTGCACAGGGTACAGAAGGGAGAGACCGCTAGGGCACAGTGCTGGTGGAGGGGGCGAGTAGTGAGAAGTAATCCCTCCCCTCAATGAGACCACCCAGGCAACACATCCACCCTAAAGGGTGGAGAAATCATGCCCAGACCCCAGAAATCTCTGAGGGGCTGTAAAGGCAGGGGATGGGGCTCCCAAGCTACAAGTTGAGCTCGAAGATCACTCGTCTGCAAGGGGCAGGACATCAGAGACCGGCCAGACCTGAACGTGCTCTCCCTTCAGCTCTGTTCTTTTGAGAGGAGAGCATGAGGGTGTGGGCTGTCAGGAGTGAGCTAAGGGTGCCCAAGAAACAGGTTCCCTGAAGGCAGGGCCTTTGTCAGCAGATAGGGACCTCTGCAGCAGACCCCTGGAAAGGAAAAAGGAGCCTCGCACCACTTCCTCACCTCTTTCTTCATCTCAGGAGGGCAGCTAGGGGTGGCTCTGGACAGGAAGGAGGGGAAGTAGGTATGCAGGGTGGATTCCGGCTTCGCCCCAAATGCCAGCACCTTCAGTCGGGGGTAGAGCTGACACAGCTGCTCCTGCAGGCTGTGGTGGGGGTGGGGAGGAGAGCCAGGCACAGGCTCTAAATGGAAGCGTGTGCTGTGTCCCATTTGCCTGCCTCAGAGTCCACGCCCTGCCCGATGCGGGTAACCAATAAGGGCCTTGTAATGGCTCTGAATCTTTTCAGACTCAGAGACTCCTTGGAAAATCTGCCAAAAGCAATGGATCCTCTCCCCAGGAAAATGCCCATATGCCAACCAACTCAAGGGTCCATATAATTTCAGGGGGTTCACTATTCCCTTGAACTTGCAGGTTAATAACCTCAGATCCAGGGTGGCTGGAGGAGAAGGGGCAGGAATATATTGCCTGTTCCTAACCTTCCCCTGGGATCCCTCACAGCAGGTGTGCCCCAGGACAGCCATACCTGGGTGTCAGGGAGTTGTTTGGCATATAGGCAAAGTCCAGAAGAGGGAAGAAGTCCTTGGGGCCAATCATGCCAAAGCCCTTGGTGAGGTTGGGGTGCATCCTATGGGGGAAGATACAGGTTTGTTGGGGACCACCACCCAGGCCATGATCCCAGCTAAGACCAACATCTAGGAAAAAGGGCATAAACACTAACTCATCCCCACCTCTGAACAGCTCCCTCCCTTTCCTTCCTTATCACCACATTCTGAGTTGGGAGGAGTGGTCCTGGTTTTCCTCATATCTATGGAGACCAGGATCACAGCATCCCATTTTGCTGAAACAGTCACTTGTAGACACCCTGGGCCTTCCCCTTGTTGTCCTCCCCATTACTCACAGGAGCAGCCGATCCAGGTATGCAATGGCAAAGGGAGACAGAGACTTGATGCCCAGCACAGGCAGCATGATTCCCAGCCACACTGCGGAGACAAAGGTCAGGCAGGAAGCCTCAGGCTTGGACCTCCTGGGACATTAAAGAGGAGCTTACTGGCTCCAAGACCATTCCTCGTCCTTCTTTACTTCCTCATTACCTTTTAGTCCCTCGGTGAGGTTGGCAAAACCTGCTTGACCCAGGGCCCACATGATGGTCAGACACTTTGCTGGTCGGCTCTGGTGGGACCTCAGAAGTTCCAGGAACTGAGAAAACGGGTGGGAGAGGCAGGTTGGGATAGGGCAAAGCACTAGGAGCACTCCCAAAGCCAGACAGGAAGAGAGATGTCAACTGGGAGAGGAGGGACAGGCTGAGGGACAGTGGAGCACTACAGTAGTGGGGCATAGTGATTCAGAGCATGGCTCTGGCACCAGACTGTGGCCTTCACCCATACTTGCCACTTATTAGTTCACTGACCCTAGGAAAGCTGCTGAACCCCTCTGTGGCTCAATCTTCTCATCCGTGAAATGGAAATAAAGGCAGTACCTGCCTCACATACACACAAAGCAGAAACACAGGAAGCACTAATAGCATTAGCTATTATTCCTGGTCTTATAGAGTCTTCCACTATCCCTTAACTGGGTCCAACAGTGTAGATTCAGCCCAGCTTCCCCAGTCCTAGATGCCTGGTGTCCCCACCACCACCCTGAGCTCACCTTGCCCAGGTTCATGGTGGCAATCCTAGGCTTGTCTTGCAGAATGGCCTGGATACAGATGCGGTAACCGTGCAGTGACTCTCCTTGAGAGACACATATTCTCAGAACTATATACACTACTCAGCATCCCAAACCCAAAATCTCCCTCCTGGCAGCTGTGAGCCCAGAACTCAGGCCCAGAGAGGCCTAACCTCCTCCCCCCTTTCCAAAAGAGTATTGGAATTAGCACAGTTCTCTGCTGGAAACAGCACCACCCAGCCACTCTGGAAGCAGGAAAAAGGGAGTGGGCTCCCAAGACGGGGCTGGGCTCTCCCCTGACGGGCCTCTTTTACCTGGTGTCTTATCTAGCTCTTGCAGCATGGTGAACAGACAGTGGTCAAAAAAGAGCTCCAGAGACCCCGGTGCCTTCGCCAGTAGCCCTCGGATGATCCCACGCAGCTCCCGGCTCACCAGGCTGTAGGGATAATCTGGGGCCATAGGCCTCCACATAAGTGCTAGGACCAGAAGCCTCTGCCAGCTCTGAGAGTGCTGGTGCTCTCCCTGAGAACAGTGAGTGGAGGCAGAGGTCCCTGCCCTGAGGCTGGCACCCTCCCTAGCCCAAGGAAGACCAGAAACTTTCACAGCTGTGATTTGAGAACAGCTCAAATCACTCCCATAAACAGGACAGTGGCCGGCATTGGGCTCTGTTAGTAAGCAAAGTGCTTACACACAGCCCTTTCAGAATTTTCTTGAATTTGTCTGAGCTTGAAGGAATTGGGAAAACTAACCGTGAGTATGCTGGCTTAGTGTGGGTTCACTTAGAGGTGCTTGGAGCTTGTAGTTGAGATAGCTGGCCAGGTCCTTCAACCACACCAACGGGTTCCCAGAGAACATGCTCTGGCTCTTGTCCAGTTCCTTCTGCAGAGCTGCCACGTCCAGCTGCCAAGGACACAGGCCCCTCATGGTGAGTTGTGGGTGAGTGCAGGGAAAGAGGGTAGAGGTGGGAAAATGATTGAACTAGGTGGTGGTAGGAAGTACCACGGGTTTCTGCTTTTAAACCTAGGTACTTTGTGGACTGCCACAATTTTGTTGCATCCAGATCTTTAGAAAATATAGAAGAAGACAGCTAAAACTGCTGATCTCAAGGCCCAATACTCTTAGTCCCTTCACATGCTCAAGGAGAAACACAGAAGACAAGACAGGAAGTGAAAGATCAGATCTCCCATGGGGCAAGGAACCAGTTTCTCTAACCCCTCCCTGCTACCCCTGGGTTTTCAAGACTCTCCTCTCATTAATCTGTGTTTCCCTGTGAACTTATTTCCTACCTATCCTAAGTGCAAACGTTCTATTCCTTGGGGTTTCCATCCTTTCCTGAACGCCTCTCAACCAATAGTGTTCCAAATTCCACAGGTCTGAGCTGCCCGTCGCCCTCCCACTCTTTTCATCTTCTCTACACCTCAAGTCCTCCTTCTTTCCCCACCTAAATTCCAGGCCCACTCACAGCTTTCAGTGCCTCCTCCAGGCTGCGGAAGCGGCCCTGCTTCTGGTTTTGGTTGGTGACAGTCGCCACCTTCTTAGTCTGCTTCTTGTTCCCTGGTTTCTTAGGCTCCACAGCAGGGGGTGGAACCTGCTCCTTATTCTGCCGCTTCATGATTCTCTCAAAGCCCCGCTCATAAAGGGTGCTTGTCGTCTGGATTGGAGCTGGGGTAAGGATAGGCAGAGAAAGGGGGCCATCACTGAGTCATGAGGGCCTCACAGGAACAGCAGTCCTGGCCCCCACACTATCACCTAATTCAACTCCAGGGAGAAGCCTGCCTCAAAGCCCTTTCTTGCTGTCCTACTTAAGGAGCAGAGCAGATAGCCCTCCTGATTGCTTCTTTCAGTCATCACAGCTCTTGAGTTCACGGGCTCTTTCACAGATAGGAGGCATTTCTTTACTAGTAAATCAGAGTGTGTGAGAACTAGTGGAGGGGTCTTCGGTGAGTGGCTACAGGTCTGGGAGGTCAGGATTTTTCCATTTTGGTTCTACCTTAGTTCCTCCTGGTTCAGATGTGACAACTCTATAATCAACAAGTGGCAAGCTTTCTCCACTCCTTCAGGAGACTTTGAGGAAACAGGCACCACTTAGAATAATACTTGGTGGGTGTCGGGAGTGTATGGTGGGTCATTTCTCCTACTGCTGGGCCTCCTGTCCGCCCCCATTCCTGCTGGTTACTTAAGGAGGGGGCGCCGTGTATAATGAACCAGGATGCCTCTGCCCAGCTCTTAGACACCTGCCCAGAGAGGCCAGGCTAGGGCCCGGGGACAACTGGTAGGGTGTGCGTGCAGTGAGCTGAGCGTCCGAAGGCCGGAATCCTAGTCCTCTCTGACATGTCATCCTGGGCAAGGCATCTAACTTCACTGGGCCTCAGTTTACTCATCTGCGAGGCGAGGACAGCAACCTTCCTGCCGCTGTCTACCTCTTGTGAGGCTCAAAGACACACCACGAGCGTAGCGCAGCTGAACGGGGAGGAGCTGATCAGCGGGTAGAGCTGGCGCCTCGAGAAGCTGGGGGGTGCCCTGACCCTCTGGGCTCGGGCAGCTGCTCGCTACCACCCTGGAGGGGCAGGCCTGGGGCCGGGCGACGGCGCTGGCGGCGGGCCGGTGGGTACTCACGGGTCAGGTCGTATTTCCACACTCCGTTCGCCTCCCCGAGCGCCCGGCGGTCCCCTCCGCCGCTTCTACCACTGCCTCCGGCCCCTGGCCGCCGCCCCCTCTTCACCACCTCCCAGCGCCCCCCACCCGCCGTCCTGGCCGCCATGGCTCCGACCCTCCCGCCAGTGCCACCTCCCTGGGCTTTCCGGTCCGGTACGGACGCGCCGCGCTCTGCCACGTCTCCTCGCAGGGCCTCGCGGCGCGCGACGCCACCCGCTAGGCAGCCTGGGACTTGTAGTCTTTCGTTTTTTTCCAGCTTGTCCTTAGCGAGGGGTCGGAGGTTTCGTAGCAAAAACATCCAGGCAAAGATGTTGAAATGAGAGGCTAGTACAATCAGAAAACTTTTATTGAGCACCTACTGCGTGAAGGCCAGTGCATTGGGCGACTTGGTGGAAATTTAACTGTTTCGCTTTTTCTTTTTTTCTAGTAGTGCTAGAAGGATAGAATGGGAATATTCTCCTGACCTCTGGGGAGAGTTTGAAGATTAAATGCTTCCTTCCTATTAGGACCGTGCTAGTTTTTCTGTTGCTGGGGATTAAAGTTTGGGTTTAATGGGCTATAAAAATCTCTTGTGAAAGAACAAAGAAGAGGATGGAACTTGAGGGAAGAGGCAGCATTAGGAGGGCAAGAAGTGGAGAGTGGAGAGTCCTGACAGGAGGCAGAGAAAAGTCTCGGGATCTGGGACAGCCAGGGCTGTGTTTCTCCTTCCAGGCAATGGGAAAGAAACGGCTCTGGCTCTCACTGTAAGAGTCAGTCCCAAGTCCCAGCTGTAGCAGGGAAGTGATCAAGAGCCCCAGACTTGAGAAACCACTCAAACAGGTTACTGTTCCCTGTCACTGTAGGGCCTTCCACCATGCTTGTAGTACATGTGAGACCTCAAAACTTGAAGCATCCCAGCAGGGGAGCATGAGGGAAGGTGAAATGAAAGTCATTTATCGCAATTAAGGAAATGTGCTATTTTGTGTACACTCCTACACTTGAGGATGGGATTCATACCTGCCATACTGAGGTACAAGACAGGCAAGCCTTTCTATTAAGAACTAATGAAGTCCAAATTCACAGGATGAACAGCTTAGGGAGTGATGGATTCCTTAGGAAAGAGATTAGAGAAGCTTCCTAAAAGAGATGGCCTGTGAGATAGGTCCTGAGGAATGGGGGAATTTTCATTGGTTGGGGATCAGGACAAGTGGAACGAATGGGCCAGTTGTATGGCTTTATTGATTTAAGCAGAGGCCTAGAGGTGGAACATGGTGGGGCAGGGCTGGGAAACTGGAAGTAGTTCAATGTGACAGTGCTTAATGGAATTTTGGAGGTGATGAGATTGGAAAGGGATGCGTCCATATGCCACGGGCCTTGCCTGCCAAATCCGGACTTTATCCTCCAGACCCTGGGAAGCCAGTGGGGAAGTGGCATGATCTATTATTTTGGGAAGGTAAATGGGGATATGTGAAGGAAGGGTTGGGGTGAGGGAAAGGCAAGAGGTGGGAGATGACCAGCTCTTGCTGCTTCCTTTAGCTGTCTTCCAGCCCCTAAGGCCTGACCATGGCTGACTTTGCCTCAGGCAGCTTTGAGATAGAGCACTTTTGCCAAGGACCATATTTGAACTGATCATTAATCAATTCACTTTTCAGATCATTGGTTTAGATCTAGTCAGAGTCCAATAACAATATCCCTTCTTTGCTCCACCCCTTCTGTGTCACATGTATAGTCACAGAAGAGACATTGTTTTTGGAAGAAAAACAGAATGGACTTTCCATAGAGGCAAAGGAGGGGGCTGATCCGTGATGGAGACACATGGGTGGAGAGGGGCTTTCTTTCCTATGTTTCATTAGAATAGTCTAGCAGGCTATCTGCTATTACTTGGCATCTAGGGGATAGAAGTCATTCACTTGCTTTTCCAGCAGTGTTTCCTAAACATCTTCTCTACCTAAGCACCTAGCACTGTGCTAGGTGGAGCTGGAGGGTACGCCGCACTTGCTTCTGAGAACTCAGAGCTTGTGGGGGAGACAAGTGTGTGAATAGAAAATTACAGCTCACCATCTTAAGTGTTCCATGGGAAAGACACATTTAGTATGAGGTACTGGGAAGAGGTGGAGGAGGAGGCAGTGTCTTTACATCCCTGAGCTCTGGCTGTTTGAAGAGTAGCCTTAGACACTAGCCATGGAGTTGGGCTTGGGCAGGTACCCACGTGGGGGTTGAGGGAAGAATCAAAAGATGTTGGGTCGAGGGGGACAGGTGGGTGTCTGTGTGGGGTCAGGAAGAAGGGGGAGCTCACAGGAGCACAGTTTGACCCACTGTGTTAGTTTTCTATTGCTGCTGTAACAAATTGCCACAAACTTAGTGGCTTAAAAAAGCATGAATTATTTTACAGTTCTGGAAGGCGGAAGTGTGACATGGGTCTCACTGGGCTAAAACAGGCGTTGCAGCTTGTGTTCCTTTGTGGAGGCTCTGGAGGAGAATCTATTTCCTTGCCTTTTCCAGCATCAAGGCTGCCTGCATTCCTTGGTTCATGGTCCCCTTCCATCTTCAAAGCCAGCACCAGTGGGTCGAGCCTTCTCACATTGCACCAGTCTGACCTCTTCCTCTGCCCCCCGCTTCCACTTGTATGGACCCTTGTGATTACATTGGGCCCACTTGGATACCCCATGATCTGCTCCCTATTTTAAGGTCAACTGGTTAGCAATTTAATTCCATCTGCAACCTTAATTCCCCTCTGCCATATAGCCTAGCATATGTTATGTAGTTCCAGGGATTATGACATAGACATCTTTGGGGAGAGGCATTATTCTGCCTACCACACCCACTTTACCAGTAGGGTGGGTCTTGGCCTGAAGATAAACATTGGGCAGCAGAGAACAGCTACCTTATTCTTTTATAGTATCTACCTGGAATAATGGAGGAAAAGCCTTTTGAAATTAGATACAGGAATTAAAAATCATAAAGATAAATAAAAGCAGGCAAGGAACTTGTTTGAGGAGAAAAACAGACAGAATAAGGCCACAAGTATCTGTATGTGGGGATGGGAGTCGAAAGGAGGAGGTAAAGTGAATGAAGAATGAACAGATATGGATTGCTCATTTAAGGCTTATATCTAGGGTCATTAGAGAAATGGTGGTGGTCTGGAAGAAGGGTCATGGAGCAGAGCCATGGAAGAAAGACAACGCCAACTCTATCTGGGTCATACTCAAAATGGCAAGGAAACCTCTCCCAGGGCGAGCCTAAAGCTAGAGGAACATTCTGGAGGTCACATCTTTGGGGATGAGCACTGAACCATGAGTCAGGGGGTCTGAATTCTAGTCCAGGTTTTTACCACCTTGAGCAAGTCCTGTCACATGTGGCCTCAGTCCTTGCACCAGTAAATGAAGGGGCTGCTCTAGATGACCGCCAAGGCTCTGGCTCAAGGGACCTGGTGCCCACATTCATTTCAGTGCCCCAGGTCCCTGTTGGGCTCCGAGGATGTTGCTTATCATGGCTCTTCGTCGGGGCGCACCTAGGAATGCAGGGCTGTGTGGATGATATGAGAGCTTCCTGGTCCCCCATTCCCATCAGAGCTTGTTCTACAGGAGGAGCCATGTGGACACTGCCATCCTGGGCTTCAGCACTCAGAGCTGCACGCTCTTTGTAACCCACTGAGCAATCTCTGTCACGAGCCCTTGTCCCCAGCTGGATCACTGCTGTGAGGTGTGTGAGCTGTGACAAGGGGTGGGGACAACATGAGTCTAACTGGCCCAAAGGAGACTGAAATTGCCTCTCGGTCAGGCCACTGTTAGCCCACAGCCACTTCACCGGGCTGCCTGTCACCACAGCCATGGCCCTGAACTTTCTTCCCCCTCAGGGAATGGGGGTCAGGGCCTCCTGCCTTCCCTTAGAGCCTGAGCACCAGTGTTGGGAGATGGGCTAGGTCAGAGCTGGGCTCTGAGGCCAAGTGCCCATGGCATGGTGGTCCCTGGGCATGAGTGAGGATGGCAGTGGTGCTGAGCTCTGCAGCTATCACCTGTGGAGAGGGGAAATCTCAGGAAGAGAAAAGCATTGAGACTCAGCCTGTGGCTCAGTTGAGGAGACACGGCATGGACTTTTACCACACAAGTTTATTTAAATAAAAGTGAACACATATGCAGGCTGGGTGGCCCGAGGGGGCAGAGGTTGGAGGGGCGGGCAGATGGGAGGCAGACATACTGGAGGGTCCAGGCGGAGTCTGTGTGGTATGAACCAAGCTGCAGAGGGAGTGGCTGGGGGTCTCGGGGCAGTGCTGGCTTCGGTGCTGGGGGTAAGGGGCTGAGGGTGGGTGAGCCTGGTGCCAGGAGGTCATTTTCATCCCTCACATGCTCCCCTCCCTCTCCCTGACCACCGGGGCCTAAGGCACCCCCTCCTCAGTCCCCTTCTCCCTCTCCTGACATCAGCTTTCCCCTCGACTACTGGGAAGTCAAAAGACAAAATAAATAAGAATCGGTGAGTCCTGCCACGGCCCCAGGCAACAGGGAGGGGAAGCCAAGCCAGGCACACTGCCCCGGAGCCGTGCTGTCAGCCCTGGGAAAAGAACAGGTAAAGTGCAAGGAAAATCCAGTAAGTAAAAATATACCAATGACTTTGTCAAATATACAGCTGCTGGCTGTCAGGGGAGCAGGCGGCTGGCTGGGGTGGGTGGCAGCAGCACCCTGGGAAGTGTTGGCCGACACAGCATAGAGACAACGGAAATAAATAGGGGTGGGGAGTGGGCAGGGGTCCTGCCCACTGGGCCAGTGCCACAGGAGGACGGGGCCTCTGCCTGCTCACCTGCCCTATCCCTCCAAGCCCTGCTCGCCAGGCTCCCCAGTGCTGCGGCACTGACACAAAGCACCCGGCCGACAGGCTGTAAGGAAAGGATTATAATGTGGGGGTGGGAGCGGGGTGGGGACGCACGGAAGCCGTGCAGTCAGCCAGGGCTGGAGCCGCCCTCAGTACTCGTCCTGGTCTTCTTGTTGGTGTTCCTCAATCTCATCGTCCTCAGGGGGTGCAAATCCTTCCTGGAGGGTGAGAAGGGAGAGGGAAGTAGTGAGCCAGGCAGGCCAGGCTGAGGATGCGGACATCTGTAGGGGATGGGAGAAGGGCCCAGTTCTAGTCCTGCTTTCCTTGGTAAGGCTCT